GACGCTCTTTTTTTCATTTTCTTCGCAGATCGCCAGTAAGTTCGAGGATCGAACCATCGGCGCAAGAAGTGAACAAGGAAAAGTCGGTAATATTACGTTCGATCGTGAAAGAAGAGGACCAATCGACGAACCGACCATACGAAATTTCGAAAAGTTGCCGCGAAATCGAAAATCCAATCTTGAATTCACACGCGGAAGACCAGAAAGGAACGACGAAAAAAGAGGCAATCATCGAAGGAAAGAACTGCAGTTCCTCTGACCAAACCTCGAGGCAAACTTTCTATCAGTGTGAAGTGTGTAAAAAGCTTTTCAGGACAAAGAACCTGTACGAGGGCCATCTGGTGTCGCATAGCGATGCTCGACCCTATCAGTGCGACATCTGCGCAAAGTCCTTCAAGAGGACCAACACTTTAGCCGTCCATAGAAGAATCCACACCCGGGAAAGGAACTTCGTTTGCGACGTGTGCGGGCACGCGTTCGTTCAGGCCTTCCAATTGACCACCCATCAGAGACGCCATTTCGACAAGTACACGAGATACTGCGAGGTCTGTAAAAAGGGATTCTTCACGAATGCCGAACTACACGGTCACATGAACGTGAAGCACGGAGCCAAAGAACACGTATGTCACTCATGTAACAAGTCTTTTCCTAATAATCATACCTTGGTGAAGCATCTGAAGGTCCACGATCCGAATTTCAAGCCTGTGAAGCATCAGTGCGAGTTCTGTGGTAAGACGTTCGTGTACAAGAATTCTCTGGTGTTCCACGTGAAGTCACACATGGGTGAAAACAAGCACGACTGCCATCTTTGCGGTAAATCGGTGTCTTCCAAGGGATCTCTGCAGGATCATCTGCGACTGCACAGCGGAGAGAAGCTGCTGATCTGCGACGTCTGTGGTAAAGCCTTTCGCAAAAGGAGCACCTTGGTAGTTCACAAAAGGACCCACACGGGAGAGAAACCGTATACCTGTGATACATGTGGGAAATCGTTCACGCAACACTCCACGTTGGTCATTCACAAACGTTATCACACCGGTCAGAGACCGTATCAGTGCGAGTTTTGTAACAAATCGTTCGTTTCCAGGTCGTCGTTGAATGCTCACAATAAAGTGCACACGGTGAACGTCACCACGGTGGACCAAACGGAGTGATTGTACAAGGACTTCTTTTTTAGTAATTTTTGACAATAAAAGGCGGGATATTTGTAAAGGAAAAGAAAGTCAAGTAAAATGGACTTTGAGCTCGCGCGAGGTCTTAGATGAAACGAAAGGTCGAAATTTTAGACGCTACTTTCATACCTGATTGTAAATTTATTTTCATTCATTTTCCATTGCATATGATCGAGCTTAGATTTGATATGCAATGAGGTGAATCCGTGAATAAAACGGAAATTGATACTAACGTCGGCATAATTATGTTTTAAGTAGAGCTATTGGCTATAATACATCGAAAGGAATTTTACTGGTGCCAAAGTTTTAAGCTGAAAATCTTCAGTTATATTTTTATATCCTTTTATCTCTGTACGGTCGAGAATATTTCGATTTTAGCTTCGCCTCTTGGGTAATATATCGAAACATATCACTGTCATGTATTATATTTTTTACAGTATTACTTTACTTTACTGTACATACGCGGTTTAGAGGGGAAGAAAGATATCTGTGTACAATGTACACCATCAGCCAGTCGCTGACGAATTTGTAAATTGTTCATGTCGAACATAGTATTTTTCCAAGTTACTTAACTACCGTTGCATGTACAATTTTGTTAAATAAAATAACTGTTTGACATGGTCCAAACACGAGCACTGTGTTATTAGAAACGTAATTTCAAAGTACCATCTTCACGATTTTTCTTTCTTTCTTGCACACTGCTAGACCCTCCAGCGTGTGACTTACACGTGTTTCTCGTGTAACGAATTTCCAAACATGTCTATCTATTTAGGAACGTCACATTGAAACCGTAGAGCGTGCTCGATAATCGACCGATCGCTTCCAGGTATGCGATTTGAAAACGCGTTCCGAGCGCAGAAAGACTCCGATTACCCAACAAGGACATCCGATACTGATGTGGCCCTTCGAATTTTTACATTTCAGGTACAACCAGCTACCCTTCTCCGAAGAGTATTACCCGATGGCGATGTTGACGAAGCTCGACCTGGTGAAGAAGGACGTGGATCCAGAGGACGGAGACCCTGTGAAAACAAAGGAGCTAGCCGGGAGCACGACCATTCTGCCTATGAACCAGGAGGAAAGTTTCATCAAACAAGAAGTGAACGACGAGGACGACGAAGAAGATCTCCCTCTGGCTTACCACTGCAAACTCTGCGGCGTGTTCTTCGCCTCTCAAGCATTGCTGGACAATCACGAGATCGAGCACAAGGGTAAACGCAAGAACACCTGCGCCACGTGTGGAAGAGTGTTCAGAACGTACGTGAATTTGCGGAAACATATGAAGAAGCACTCGGGTCGTAAAAGTGGACGCAAAGGGAGCAACGCGTCAACGGTGACCAACCGTACGAACGCTCTGAAAGTGAAGAAAGAGAAGCCAGAACTGGAGTTCCTATGTAAAACCTGTAACAAGGTATTCCGGCACAAGAGCAACTACCAGAAGCATTTGATGCGGCACACCGTCGGCGATCTCACCTGCAAGCACTGCCCCAAGAAGTTCCGTCTGTTCCGTGATCTGACCAGGCACGAGAAGACTCACTTCTATCCCAGCTACATGTGCAAGGAATGCGACTACGAGACCACCGTATTGGCAGCACTGAGCATTCACATGTTACGGCATACGGATAAGGCTGAATTGCCATTCAAGTGCAACGACTGCGACAAACGTTTCCGTAAAGCGATCGACCTGCAGGAACACTACAATATACACTCCGGGGACAAGCCATTCGTTTGCCAGTTATGTGGTAGCGCTTTCTACCTCAGACGACAGCTCTCCGCTCACTGTAGACGTATGCATCCCGAAATGAAGGCTAACAAAGTAACCAGCACTGCCTGTGACATCTGTGGCCGAGTCCTTGCTACCAAGAGGTCGCTGTTCCGTCACAAGGAGAGCCACAATCCCACGAAACTGTATCTGTGCGACTACTGCGGCAAGAGTCTCAGCAGCGCGGAACATCTGAAGAAACACAGACGCATCCACACTGGCGAGAAACCGTACGTCTGCGACATCTGTGGCAAGGGTTTCACCGACTCTGAGAATCTCAGGATGCATAGGAGGGTGCACACCGGTGAGAAACCTTACAAGTGTGATCAGTGTCCGAAAGCGTTCTCGCAGAGGTCCACGTTAACTATTCACAAGCGAGGACACACAGGAGAACGACCGTACGTGTGCCAGATCTGTAACCGTGGCTTCTCGTGTCAGGGCAACCTGACGACTCATCAGAAGTCCACCTGCGTATAAACGCGAGTGCCTTCTTCCTCGAGGGTAGAACTCTGAATAGAAGGAGAGAAAGAGAGAGAGAGAGAGAGAGAGAGAGAGAGAGAGAGAGCATTGTGGGATTCACTCTCGGTACCACCGTGTCGTCGTCGTCGAGGCTGGTTACTCCATTGGTGCTGATATCACTACGGAAGATACTGTTTCCTGGTGTACAGGAATCGTAACTCGTCGTGATCGACGACGAAACAGAAGCGTGTGACGTTTCGACCAATGAAGATGAGGACGAAGCGTTGAATGAGCATAGACGAAGAAGCGAAACCGATCAATCAAATTTTTTTACGATTCGTATTGCGATTGAAATTATATTATCTGTTCATTGTTACGCGTTCGATGCTTTTCCGAGTTTCTTTCACGCAGTTCTTATGAGTTGTAACGAGTTGAGTGGCGAACAGTGGGCTTTTTCATTGAGTAGTAGTATTACTTAGTCGATCGACTGTCTAATTTCGTTTCGCTACCGTGTGCTGTAACGAAACGAAAAATCGTGTTGTACATCAGAGGATTCGAAGTTCATTCGAAGATTAAGAGAATATATCGACTGCAAGTCCCATGTTAGTTATGAGTACTGATATTCGTTATTATACGTTTAATAAAAAGAACAATAATCCACTGAAAATAACGAATCGTGCGTAGCGACTTCATACTCCAATCGACCAACTTCTCATGCCTTTTACTTCTCGCACGGAACGATTCGATCGTTTCCCTTCATATCCTGGTTAATAAAGAGAACTGTTAGAGACAAACGCACAGTACCGTTACTTCCGTTATAGATACGCACAGCGATCTGGAAGAAGTTTCGACGAACGATGTGAAGCACGTATAACATGTTGAAAAATCACGTTGTTGATTGCAGAGCTATCCGGGTCGTAGATTGGGCCTCGAAATCCATAGACTGCGGCGACCAGGCCACCAAGATATTCCATTCGACTTGCGGATCACCTTCGTCACCGGAACAGGTGAACTCATTGTTTCACACAAGCCAACATGTCCGATATCTCGAAGGCGATTAATAATGTTAATAAATTGTTAGGATCCATTGGCAGATTCACCGACAAAGAGGGACAGGATTATAAGAACGGAAGATGGAGAACGGTACGTTTGTTCGGTTTGCAAACTGCATTTTGGCAGATCGAGAGAGTACAAGCGTCACATGGTGAAGCACAGCGATCTACGTCCATATCAATGCGGAGTTTGCAACAAAACGTTCAAACGTTCCTCGGAACTGGCGAACCACAGGCACCTTCATCGTGGCATCGAGTACAAGTGCGAGGTATGCGGGTACACCACGAACAACAAGTTTTCCGTAAGAACGCACTATCGACGAGTCCATCAGCGTGATTTCCGCTACCGTTGCGACCAATGTGATAAAAGTTACATGTCCAATTGCGAACTGGAGGATCATAAGGCCAGTCACCTAGGCAAGAAGACGTTCGTCTGCGAACTCTGTGGGAACGCCTATTTGCAGAAGTCCTACTTGGTGTCCCATAAACGGGCGGTTCACAAGATCCTAAAGAGATCGGCGAAAATATTCCAGTGCGACGTTTGCAGCAAGACATTCCCCAGTGAGCAAACTCTTCGTACTCACGCTAGTGTACACCAGAAGGAATTTCTGTGCGCCCTGTGCGGCAACAAATTCGCGACCAATCAAGGCCTGAAGATGCACAACCGGAGGCACACGGGAGAGAAACCGTATGCGTGTAAAGTTTGTTCGAAAGCTTTTACCAGGTCGACTACGCTCAGAGTGCACGAGTTGACGCACACGGGAGAAAGACCGTACGTGTGTGATCTATGTGGACAGAATTTCACTCAGAGAAGCAGCATGATGGTGCATCGTAAAAAGCATCCCGGAAATCATCCTCGGCCGCCACCTTTGATACTGAACAAACCCGAGGATGATGATAATGACGATGAACATATGTTATAGTGTTTTTTGGGCATCGATGATCATTTGAAAGGAACTAGGATATACTGAAACGTGGGGACTCGAGTGACTTTTGAGAGATTCGATAATGGAATTGTGTGAGATATCGAAGATCTCAGAGAATTCCAATTTCGCGTGTGTTTACGAACTCGTTTACGTTACGCTTCGCTCGACTGCATTACGCTTCTAAGTTTTTCTTTCGTTCGCTATTCCAGCAGTAAATCTCGCATTTTCGCAAAATAAATCCGGTCGTTTTACGTCATTAATTGGATGATCGTTCGATTTGCCCCTTTGACGAGTGATGAATTATTTGTCACGACAATGATATTTTTATAATCGAATAAAAGCTGCTTTACGTACCCGTAAATCTGGAGTTTCACAAAGGGAGATTGTCCGCCGTGCGTTTTACAGATATTCGTTCACTGTTAAGCCTGTAGCGTTATTTTGTATCTCGTTTAAGTCTTCAGTTAGAGAGTATCATACCGAAAAGACGCAGGATATAACGATGAAGCTCTTACGAACTGCAAAGCCGTGAAAATGCTACGAATATTGATTACAGAAGCTGCTTCTCGTTAGCGATTAAAATATTCGAATTAACTACTAATAAGACTCGAATATGTACATAAAATAGTGTACTTAAGCAGGCGGTTGGTGTAAAGTACGGCACATAACCGAGGGTTTCGGGGTCACAGTGTAAAAATACACGGCGATATAGATCGTTAAGTACGAATCAAGCCTTACGAATTTCACGTCGATTGCGAGAAAGAGAATGCGAGAGAGGGAGAGAAAGAAAAGAAACCGAGAGAATGGAAGCGAGTTTCATAAACGTCGGTTGTTCTAGAAGCTGTGACAATTTTACTAATGTAAGTAGACACTGACTGTAAATTCACATTAATCGGGAGATCGAATTGTTTTCAGTGCAATGTTCGACGCATTCATTGCTTGTACTGAATTCTTTGTTCCTTTAATTAAATCCTTTTCAGAAATCGCTCGATCGTTCTCACTATGCCGTATATATTCATTGTGTGTTATCCGCACCATGCTCCTCACCCTTTTCGTTTAACACGCATAATATTCTTAAACACTCGATCATCAGCAAGAATCAAACGAATAAACAAGACATCAAATCCATCAGAAGCGGATCTGTGACCGTTCCTCCCGATTCTCTCCCTGTTTTATTTACTTATCTTCTTTATTCTTCTTTTTTAAAAATTTTTTTTTTTTTTTTATTCTTTATTTTATCTAAACCTAGTATACCGATCACTTTCTTACGACTGACTAAACGAATGGATGTTTCAGGAGGTCTACGAACGCAGAAACGTCCCTGGACCAGAGTAGAAATGATCGAGTGCCGTTCCAAGTTACTGTTGTTCCAGCTTCCAGCCCGATTGCGCATAATTCGACACCGTGGAAAATCGAAATAGACGACGATGACGACGACGACGATGACGAGGACGAGGACAGTGAAAGAACAATGGACGCCGATGAAAGCGCAATATTTTACAGTCCTCCTTCGGGGAGAAAAGTGATCGACGATCCAACAGTTGACTCGGTAAAGACAGTTTTGGTGCCTGTCAGAGACCCAGTGACGAAGGAAATTAGGAACATGTTGGTGCCTGTTGAAGTTAGGGACGAGTCTGGATTGAACATAATTAAAAGTGTGCTGATACCATTTCACGGAGAGGATGGATTAATGTCTTACGAAATCAAAAAGGTTGTAGTACCCATCAAGCCGGAATTGAGCTTCCCTCAAAAGAAAAGACCTAAGAATAAATTATTAGCGAATAAAACTAAAAGCAAGCAAGTGACTTGTAAGAAAGAGGAGGAGAAACGAAACGAAGAGAAACAGAAAGAAAGAAAGAAGGTGATATTAGAGAATAAGGTGAGAAAACGAGAAGGAAAGGAACGAAAGCAACCGGAAAAGAGGATAGAGAAGGAAACGGAAAAAATGCCAGAATCGGAAGGAGAAAGTGTATTAGAAACGAATGCTGCGAAAGAGGAAGTGGATCAAATATTAGACACTCTGCGAAACATTTGTCCTTTTTGTCAGAAACATTTTAAAGATGAAGATCAAATGCAAAAGCACGTTCTTAAGACACACAAGAAACCGTACAACTGCGACAAGTGCCATAAAGGCTATTTCTCTGACTTCGCCTTGGAGGAACACCAGAAAACGCACGAAGTGGTCTCGTTCTACCAGTGTTCCGTTTGTCAAATGCAGTACAAAACCATGACTGGCCTAAAGCATCATCAGATCCGCGAGCACAGTGACATAGACCCGAAATTCACCTGCGACTACTGTGGGAAACGATTCAAACTAAAGTTGGACTTGGGTCTTCATATCGACAGGTCTCACATGAACGTCTCCCACATTTGTAGATTCTGCGGCATGGCCGTGAAAAACATAGTGCATCACGAGCTGAAGCACGAGAAGAATAAGAAAGTCAGCTCTCTGTACCGTTGCAGCATCTGTCCCAGAAAGTTCAAAGCGTGGAACAGTTTGGAAAACCATTTGCTGATGAAGCACAAAGCTCCGAAGGAGGGATCTGACATGTTAAGGACGCTGTGTGAGAAGAAGTTCCAATCCAGGAGTGACTTTTATCAGCACGTGCTCAGTCAAGTAGAGGCTAAGCAACATAAGTGCGTGGTTTGCGACAAAACTTTCGCCTCTGAGTATAATCTTCGAAATCACGTGACCTTGCATTCTCAGACTTACCTGTGCTCCCAGTGTGGTAAGAATTTCACCACGAAGTATTCGTTGAAGCTGCATCTTCGCAAGCACACCGGAGAACGACCGTATCAGTGTAAAATATGCTTGAAGACATTCGCCAGATCGGCTTCTCTTAGGGTACATAGGCTAACTCATACAGGAGAAAGACCGTACGTGTGCGATTTGTGTGGTCAAAGTTTCACTCAGAGAGGTAGCATGATGGCGCATCGACGCAAGCACCCCGGAAGCCATCCGCCACCGCCACCTCTGATGCTTAGCAGACTCGAAAATAACGAGCACTAGTTTTGTTCTAGCGTCAAAGTCTGTGCATGTTGTAAAGTTAAAATGTTTATATGATAATCGATGTAAATTTGGGGAATATCGTGGTACAAACGGTACAAAGGTGGGGTTACAGAAAAGACACGGTCATCTAGTTTCACGGGGTTGTATTACTCTTCATAAGTCATTCAGATTTCGTGTTTGTCATTCGCATAATCGTGTTTGTAAAATATCATCGTCACTCTTTACATGCATTTGCAATATTGTCCGCCCCGTGTTAATTTTATTTATAAAGGATTGTATTTTTATAACCGACTAAAGGTTGTCTCCTGTGTCGTTAACTTCGTTCCCGCAAGAATTGTGCGTACTTCTTTTTTCAAAGATTTGCAGTATTATTGTGCATTATTGTATCCTGACGACGTATCAATTCTTCTATTGTCACACGAAATATATATTACAGAATATATATTCAAAAGGCGTAGAACATAATATTTTTATGTTCATGAGGTTTTTTATTTTTTTTCTTCTTCTTTTATCAGACGAAATGTTAATTTTGTCGTTGCCGGTGACAATACTCAAATCGCGTTTTACGTTGGACATAATATTGTACATAGTCCATTATACTAAGATAAATAGTTACTGTAAAATACGGCGCATAAGTCAGAGTATGACATAAACAATTTGCAAAATACAATTCTTACCAGAAAGTACGAAGGGAGCAGTGCAAATAGAAAATTAAAAATTGTTATTTATACATTTGCGAGTATCACGTTGACTGTAAGGATGAATGTAAACGAGTTTCATCGCTCTCAGATGCCTTGTTTAAATCACGAAGTTTGATTACTTCTAAGTGTCACGCGTTATAAATTCATATTAATTTCGAGATCGTTATTAACATTCGACGCATTTATTTCTTGTACTAGATTATTTGTTCCTTCGATTAAATCCTTTTTCATAATTGTTAAACACTCATTATGTAATTCTTGTCTATCCATTTATTTCCCTCTTCGCTTCTTGCCACCGACGTTCTATAATATTTATAAGATTCACAGGAGAATTCAATATAAATAAATAAGATTATTGACTGTTACAGACTTGACTGTTTTGCAACCAGATCCACCCAATTTCCAACTGTTTTTTGTTCACCTGCCTGCGCTGATTCTTTCTTCTACGACTGACTAAACGAATCGGTGTTTCAGGAAGTCGACGGTGATGGAAAGGTCTACGGCACAGAACTCGACGCAACAAGTTGTTATATTATGTCGCACACTCACTGCTCAGGACCATGGAAAGTTTACTCAACGGCCGCTGAAACTTAAAGTTATTCCAGTTTCCAACACTGACGTAAACAGTAAGGTATCTACAAAAATTGTAAGAAATTGTAACAGACTTAATAAGCAACGGATGTTGAGGAAAAGCAAAGATAGTTTAACCAACGATTCCTCACGGAATGGAATTAACTTTGGTTTAATTTCTAACGGAAAGATTCTTAATAATCGTGTTTGGTTAAAGGAAGTTAACAGTAATTTGTCGCTGAACAAAACGAATAATAACTCCATCGGGAAGATGCACGAAGACTCGAATATAGATTCAGTAAAACAGGTATTGGTTCCAGTTAGGGACCCAGTGACCAACGAGACCAAGAACATGTTGGTGCCGATCGAGGTGACAGATGCTTCTGGATTGAACGTAATCAAAAGTGTTTTGATACCGAATCGTGATAAAGACGGTTTCGTATCGTACGATATTAAGAAAGTCGTAGTACCTATCAAACCAGAATCGAAGTTATGTCGGACGACAAAGGACGAGGACAAAGTAATACCGATTGGTGATAAAGTGAAGAGAAAAAAGAAGAAAGACGAAGTAAAAGAACACGAACAGCTAACGCCTAGTGAAAACGAAGTAAACAAGGTAGAAAATAAGGAAACGTTAGATTCTCGTCTGCAAGTAACGACAGACGAAAATGGAGTGCCTCGGATAGAAGATAAAACAGAAGAAGTCGAGCAAGGTCAGGATCAAGAGGGAGAAATAATGGAAGAAATAATACAAAGCCAAGTGGAACAGCGAGAAGACGAAGGGGAAGACACTAAAACTTTAACAGTGGTTCATCCAGTGATCCAGGAAGAAGAGACAGACCAAATACTGGAAAACCTGAAGACCATCTGTCCAGTTTGTCAAAAGATCTTCAAGAACGAGAGCCTGATGCAAAGGCACGTGCGTAAATTTCACGAGAAAACGTATCCCTGTGACAAGTGTAACAAATGCTATTCGTCTAAGCCAGGCCTGCAAGAGCACAAGAAGTCTCACGAAGACGATTCGTATCTACAATGCTCCATGTGTCATCTAAAGTACAAACGTAAGGCTGGACTGAAGAATCATCAGATCCGCGTGCACAGTAACGTGGATCCAAAGTTCATGTGCGACTACTGTGGAAAACGTTTCAAGCTGAAGATCGACCTGGGTGTCCACATCGAGAAGACCCACATGAACGTCGCCCACATCTGTAAAATCTGCGGTAAAGTCGTCAGGAACATCACGCACCACGAATGGCAGCACGAGAGAGTGGCCAAAAGGGTCGTTTATCGCTATCGTTGCAATCTTTGCCCAAAGAAGTTCACGACCAGCAACAATTTGGACAATCACTTGCTCATGCACAAGGATGGTTTCAAGTGCAGCCTCTGTAACGAAGTTTTCTCTTCACCGTTCTCCCTTGGGAGCCACAAGAGCACGAAGCACAGACCAGGTGCGACTTGCACCATCTGCGAGAAGATGTTCAACAACACCAGCAATTTCTATCAACACGTACTCACCCATGCTGGAGTCAGACCATACAAATGCGACATTTGCGGAGAGGACTACACGCAGAGATCTAGCGTTCTGAGACATCGAAAGACTCACCCTGGTCCTCTTCCACCTTTCACGGAACCAACGCCAATCGCGGATATCGCCAGGAAGATATTGGAAAAACTCTCGAGTGTTTGAATTGCGAAGTATTATGATTCAGGTACATTGGATTTTATAGCAAAGTGTGGTAAAGTGAAATTAAGTGTATATAGGAAAACAACTGTTTTGAAAGTATCTAGGTGCTCTTGGACAAATATGTATAGTATATGATCTCGTTTACTATGGTCATTGAAAATGCAAAGCTTAAAAAGCGTTACGTTAAAAGATTTATTCTATCGCTTTGTTGTAATCTTATTAATCAGATTTCAAATCTGTAACAATTGTTATCGAGACTGTTTTCGAGCAGTCTAAAATTTTCAATATTATACAGAGAACTTTGGTTTCCAATTATAACAAGTTTGATTAGGAGTGTAGATATTCAGTAGGAAAGATTATGAGTGATATGTGTATTCCACTTAGGTGTAACACGTCTTGTTTTTATGTTCCTTTTGTTAATCCACTTTAAATATTGGCTTTCTATTTAATAAGTGTCCTCTTAGACGGACACGTACTGTTTTTGTAATAAAATTTACAGAGAATTTCTTCTCAATCGTTCTAAAGTATTTTTCTAACCCGAAGTATAACAATTTCTAGTATATATTTTTCATAAACAAAGATCGTCAATAATGATTCGCTGAACTTATCGAGTAGTAAAATTTGTTTATCATGTGTCGAGCTACAAAAGTGACTGCCTGATGATTTCACGTATCTTACGTGAAAATAATCGCATTTAGATACCACAGTTTGTACGATATAGTGTGCATTTAAACGACGCAAAAGTAAGTTACATTTTTAATATATTTCAGACATTCGGATAGCGTTAATATAAATTGTGATTTCGCATATGTTATCTCGAGGTTTATTTGACAATTTCCATGTCGAAGGAAAATACATTATCAAGTAGTGTTCACGTTTAAAATATTTTTTTTACGAATATCGAAAACTTTGCTTTGTCGACTGAAAACATTATTAACAAATCACTATTCCGAATTTTGTAAATAGTATTCTCAAACCTCGCACGCTATTCTCACAAACTGACACATACTATCCTTGTTTCAGAGAAGAGCCTGTCCCAGATCCAGCACGAAATTCGTCTTACTGTTTGACAGTGGTCGACTCGCAGAGGCACGAGGGTGACAAAGCACCGAGAAGAAGATCGGAACAAATCCTATCATCGAATCTCGTGGATACGGAACCAGAAGATCCTCTGAACGAATCACACCGATGCAATTCCCTCATCGAGTCAGACCACGACTCGGAAAATTTACAGAACAGTAGGAAAAAGTTTAAAATATTGGAAGCAGAGTTTGAAACCGGTTCAGCGAAGATAGAAGTCGACTTGACCATTCTAAAGAAAGACGAAGTCGAGGTGGATCAAGTTTTGGATAAGATTAGAAACACTTGCCCCTTCTGCGAGAAACGTTTCGACAACGCGAAGAAGGTAGAGAATCACGTGACCTACGTGCACCGAAAACCCTATAAATGCGACATGTGCAAAAGAGCGTGTCACACTGCTCGAGCGTTGGAAGAGCACAAGATGATCCATCGACCGGATTACTTCTTCGAGTGCGAGATCTGTCGCGTGAAGTATAAAAGCGAGGACAGTCTGAAGAGACACAACATGCGTACTCACAGCGACTACGAGTCGAAGTACGTGTGCGAACACTGTGGTCGCAGCTACAAGCTGAAGATCGACCTGACGCATCACATGAAGAGGGCTCACGTCTCGGAGTTGCAGATCTGTCGATTTTGCGGCAAAGAGGTGAAAGACGTGAAGGGCCACGAGTGGAGACACCAGAAACGCAACAAAGAAGTGAAATACGAGCACTCTTGTCATTTATGTCGCAAGAAGTTCCATCATAGGAGCAGACTGGACAATCATTTGAGACTCCACGAGAAAGGCTTCAAGTGCGAGGAGTGTGGCAAAGAATATCGAGGAACTCGTGAACTGATGAGTCACAAGAGGTTCAAGCATGGCCAGGCCAAGATTCTCACCTGTATACTGTGTCAAAAAGCCTTCCCTTCCAACAGCAACTTTTATCAACACGTGTTAACGCACGCTGGTATCAGACCGTATAAGTGTGACGTTTGCGAAGAGGATTTCACGCAACGTTCCAGTCTTCTAAGACACAGGAGACATCATCCTGGACCACTTCCGCCGTTGCACTCCACTCATCCTCAGATCGCTGAGTTGGCTAGAAGTTATCTGCAGAAGCTACAGAGTGACCAGATCGACAAAAGCTGCGTGTTGAACGCGAAATTATGATCTCTTTGAAAGCACGTTCTTCCTCGGAAGAATGCTAACTCCAGGAACGATTTTGAATATCTGATGTTCAGTTTTTAAGGGAGCAATTAGCGTAGTTTGGCAGATAGTTGAAATTTTTGACGTAGATGATGTTGAGTTTATGAGAGGTTTGTACTTAGGTGCATTTAAGGATTTCATTATGATAAGTTCATTGATCTCAAACGATTTTACTACAATATCCGAGTCTTAATTGTAACAACGAAGGGGCTTCGATGATTTTAATTATTCATAAGTCTATGTAGGTTCTATGATCCGTAGTAATCAAAGTTTACTATGATTCTATAATAGTTCAGTGATTTTTGAAGAAGGAAATTCTTGGAAAAGTTCAAAGAGTTATCGAATTATCGATATTTTTTATATTTAAAAATATAAGTTTTAGATATTTTAATACGTATTTTAATCTAACGATGTTTTTGGGTGATATCGTTATTTTATATGAATTTTACAATTTTATTAGACATATAAGTATATTGCATTCTTGACAGAAACATTAATAGAAGACGTCTGTTCACAGTTAGCAATTTTTCAAAACAGCAGAATTATTTCGAATTCTAATGACAGTAAACGAGGATAATTAACTTAAAATATTACTTCGTTTGCAAGGTACTGAGTTCCAATGCATTTTAATGATAATATATGTACATATGCATATTTGTAATAAGCAACCACGTTTTTTATCTGTAAAAACGACTAAACTCTGGAAATCAACATTTTTGTACATTTGTATATACGTAGATAACTATTTCTAAAAATAAAGCCATAACAAATGTCAATTCTAAAATATATGAAATACTATAGTACACGAATTATCCTAATTCAGTTCCAAATCTTTTATATTTATGCATTTAGTCAATGGATAACAATATTATTCATAGCACTGAATATCAAACGAAACGATAAACATTAATTGGGCAATAGTGATAGCTTAATCGTGTTTTGGAAAATATCACTGAAAAAGGAAGATATGCTGAATTTATCAATGAAAATTATAACCATGATCTTACAGTACAATTATACTGACCTCGCAATATAATTGAGCCAAAATTTTCGTAATTATCGTCATTTTATCTTTTATCTCGCTACTTATCACACTATCGCGAAAATAATTCAATAGTCTTTCTTCTGCAGTGTAACCACGCGTAAGTTCTGTAACACAGTGGCTAGAATCGAAAGACAATGAGAAAGCTTATCGTACGCATCCGACCAGGTTTCTAGAAGAAGAACAAATCGATTTTTAAGAAACTTGCTGAGTGACAGGTTTCTTAAAAGGTACATCGGTCTTAGACACACACCAGGTGCATGCTCTCGTGCGCGGTTTATAGCAAAAAGCCAAAAAGAATAAAAAAAAAGATAAAAAAAATCACACTATCCTTTCACACATCCGAACCCAAGATTGTAATCGACTGACTAGCTTTGTGGTTTTTTAGGTTCAATGCGCTAGACCCACTCGCTCCAACTTTTCTGATAGTAAAACTAGAAGATAATTACTTTCGGATACCGACGTCGCTGAGCGTGTTCATGATGAAGGAACCGCCGCCCAACGAAGAAACGAACGTTCAGTCGTCGAAAGAGAGTGCCCAAACGACGAAGACGAACGAGCCGGAAGAGAAGACGAAGGATAACGCGAGTACAAGCGACCCCTTCGAAGATCTCGACGACACGCCGTTGGATTTTCGGAAGAAGCAAGAACAGGAGAAAAACAAGGCCGGCAAACAGGTGTTGAAAAAGAAGCTGCACACCTGTGAGATCTGCTACGCGACGTTCGATCATAAGAGCAAACATACCAGGCACATGTACAAGCACAGTAACTCGAGGCCACACAAATGTGCCATTTGCGCGAAGGGATTCAAGACCACTGCTCACCTGACCAGGCATATGGAGGTCCACGACGAGCCTGTAAACCTACACGCGTGCAGCCTCTGCGACTTCAAGGCACGCACCAAGCCTTATCTGAAGATCCACTATATCAGAAAGCACACGGAGGACTATAATTACAAGTGCGAGCAGTGTGGGAAGATGTTCAAGGTGCAGTCAGACTATACCACCCACGTGAAGGACCACGACACGGAATCTTGCGTCTGCGACATCTGTGGCTCTTCTTATCCTAGCAAAAGCTCGCTCTACTTTCACAAACATTACAAGCATAAGACGAAGGTGAAGAAGTTTCAGTGTCAGACTTGCAAGAAGAAGTTCAAGACGCAAAAGAACCTGGACAATCATATGGAACTGCACAAGATCAAGTATGTCTGTGAACAATGCGGTATGGAATTTAAAACGAAATACGGCCTCACCAAGCACCTGAGGACACATTCCGGGGAGAAGTCTTACTTGTGCGCGATTTGTGGGAAAACCTTTGGGTGTCTCAGCTCTCAGAAGATTCACCTGTTGACCCACGTCGGTGAACGGCCTTACGTCTGCGATATCTGTGGTCAGAGCTTCACGCAGAGATCACCCATGATGCTGCATCGCAGAAAGCACCCTGGAGTACACCCGCCACCCCCACCCATTAAGATCACGAACCTGCTGCACGGTGTACAGGACAAAATTATCGTGAACAAGAGCAGCAAGTAACGCGTGAGTCAGGTGGACCGTGTGTAACCACAAACACTTTTGTACATTTTTTTACGTAACGTTAGAAGTCGGAGGAATACGTGATCGAGGGCGTTCCTCTCGAACGATTGTTAACGGATTAGTTCGATTCGAAACTGTTAACCGTGAAATTTTTTTGGCGAAGCATTCTGTGAGATAATTAAGTGTCCTCTGTTAAGTCAGTGGATTTTGAGAGTTTTGTAAGAAGCTTTTTGTGAGATCGAATTGCAAGTACTCGATCGTTACGACTGCACCGTGTTCGTCACGCTACTACGTTATACGTAAGTTTTCTTTGATCTTTGAACAAGTGAATTTGATTGAATGTGATAAATAATTGCAATTATGATATACGGCATAGTTTGCAAGATGACTTTAGATTTTTAAGAAACGCGATGAAATTGAAATTGAAAATTCTTCGACCAAACCGTTGTTAATCGTGCCGCAATGAATTTATATCATTGGATTATAGTATCGGAGTCGAATTCATATTATATTATAGTATTGGAATCTCAGTGGTTTTCTGGTCGCTTTTTGTAATTCGTTTAGATTATTTTTCTCCCGTTTGTTCGTTTAATCACCTCTTTTCGGTGATTCATAGTCACGGTAAACTGTGCTGATAGCGTTTATAAAATTTGATTTCTCTTTGATTCTTTGTTTGTAATACTAGATGATGCGAAATTATCCTTAATCTTTATCGAAGTTTTGTTGGGAAAATTTAATTTAGGTGAAGTCTCGAGTGTTAATTCAAGCGAAGTATTCATCGGAAAACTGTGTTTCGTTGAAAAAATAATCCCTTCGCTTGGAGAGTGATATATACATGACATTTGACACTTTTATTTGTGACAATAAAAATGTTGATACTTTGATTAATCGTCAGATCTCTAATTCTATTTACTTACAGATATAATCATCGCGATATTTGATGTTCGTTACCTTCGATTCGTTTAACAAACTAATGTACTGTACAGCATAGGATTAATGTAATATACAAGATGGGGATAAGAATCATTTTTTAATACGATGTTTTGGTTAACGGGGCTAAAAATTCACGAAAATGTGAAGGTAATAGCTGGAGGTAGTACCGAAACTTTCCAAAATCGAGGTTTTGTAAATCGAGAACTTATACAGAAATAGCTTTTATATGTATATGAATTTAAGTATAACATAAAAGTTGTAATATAGATATGGATATTCTTACGAAAGAAATTTATATGGCTTGTAAATTTGAAGAAAGAAATATATATATATATCTATATATAAGATTATGTAAAATACCTTAGTTTTTATGGATTGTATCACTGATATTGTACAGAAGAATAATTTTTCAATGAAGAATAACCCTCCTTGTTAATGTTTGATGTATACTAATTCGATATTTGTTTCTTTTTAGCGGATGAAGAAACTGCAAAACTGCAATCTTCTTCATTTTTCAGGTTTATAGGTGATTATTTTTCTCTGCCTGATCTCCGTAGAACTTAATAGTATCGCATGAAATACAATTAAACGAATGTTATTACTTTAACACAGGAAACATTTGCTATATAACAAGGAATTATTTTAATTATCTTCTTAATTTCTTTTCAGTAACACACATAAACATAGCTAACCCATTTTTCGCCGGCTATGTAAGACAACCCTCGCAGGAAGAAAACACAGTTCGTTAATTTCTATCCTAGCAGATATCGATACTCTGTATGTTCTCCACGAAATAAATACACTTCGCGAGGTCTTTCCTCCAATTAACAAGATTTCTTTTTTCATTTTTAGGTCGACACCGCGTGATCCGCTCGAGCAAACGTACCTCGTCGTGCAAAATGTCGATAAGTACTTCCTGCTACCCGTCCAACACAACGTACCGACGCAGAAACAGCAGGAACAGGTACCCACCGCGCCGGAAGTGAACGTTAAGACCGAAGTGCAGGAAGACGTAGCTCAAGAAACACGTGAACAGCCACCGGCCGAGGGACTCAAACTGGACGACAGGTCCCGATTACCTCCAGCATTACCTATTCAGCTACCTTTACAGTTGTCGCAGTGGTTGGACCAGTATTCCAGTTCAGAGGACACGATGACGAAGACTATGGGCACCGAGAAGATATTCACCTGCGACTACTGTCCAAAGGCCTTCAGGCAAAAGTACTCTCTGCAGAGACACCAGGCGACTCACAGCAACACGAGGACCTTCGAGTGTTCGGTGTGTCAGCAGTTGCTGAAGACCAAGAGGACACTGCGATTTCACATGATGCTGCACGAGGACAGCGGTAAGATATTCCAGTGTACCGACTGTGGCTTCATGTCGAAGAGGAACCACAGTCTGAAGCGTCATCAGATCAGGATTCACTCGAAATACTTCAATTACAAGTGTCCACATTGTCCGAAGATGTTCAAGCTGAACGCCGACTTGAAGAGACACCAAATGAAACATGTAATCGCGCCGTGTTACTGCGAGGTCTGCGGGAAGATGTATCAGAACGAGTTCTTCCTGCGAGTGCACCAAACCATGGGCAAGAATCGCAGAACCACCTGCTGTGTGCGTCGTGAACTGATTAAAAGTAATCACGAGGTAACGGAGTATACGGCTGTGCAGAATGGAAGGATCATAGTGAAGGCAACGTCTGCCAGGAATAAGAAGGGCGACGTGAAGCGAGTGTTCAAATGCTCACAGTGCAAATGGCGATTCAGCAGTTGGAAGTTACTGCGCAAACATATGCAACGGCACTTCCTTAGCTATAACTGTGAGACTTGCGGTGCTGTGTTTAAGTATAAGGCCTCGTTTCTGAAGCATCAGGATTCACACAAAGAGGAACAGTTGTAAATTGTACGAGAAAAGTAACTTTATTTTTGCAGTTTATTTCAAATTTTTTTGTTTGTTTTTTATCTATTTTTATACATATATATATATATTTTTTTTTGCTTTTTTGTTTTTCTATTTTTAATAATACCAAACGTGACTGAACAAATAAGTTGGTATTACTGTTATTGATTGCGAGTAGCAATACCCTTTAAAGTTATGTATAAATATAAATTAGGTAACATGCTTAAAAGGGAACATTTATTATGTACAGATTGTTTATTTTTTTTTAGAGTCTAAATTCAACGTTGATATAGTATTAAAAATCGAAAATCTTTTTTGTTATATACAAATTCTATTTTTATTTCAGTTGAAAAATTTTTTTTTACATTTAATAATAAAAATAAATGTGAAGATGTTTGTTAAAAATATAAGAGATATTTGTAATGGTTATACGTAAGTGTTTGAGGATTCATTCTAAGTACAAAATAAACGTATAATAAATAACACTAATTTTGTTTCTTATACATACTTTGCTTTGTGTATTTTAGGAATTCTTTTGTGTTCTTAGTGTTTGTTTCAAACGAGCCCAAGAATTTCAGTGTTACGAAGAATTGAAAATAATACACAGTGTATAAAATGTAAGTATTATAATACAAAGTAAATTTTTGTAATTACACATATTGCATAATTTCCAGGTCAAGAAGAGAAAATATCGGTGATGTTTAACAAATATTTATAACCAAAGAGCAATTTACTTCAAAATGAAGTCACACGTAGGTATAAGGTATAAGGAAAATACATATTAATGGATAAGAATTTGAAGTTTCTAATAATATTTTTCTTTTTAAGAATCCAGGATCAACCATGCTTTCCTTATGGAAAGGAGTGTACGAAGATTTAGATCAAGACACAATTATTAAAGTTTCTTAAATATTTATTTTACATATGTTCCAGTGGTAGATAATTAATTTGTATATATATATATTTATAAGGATCTTATTTTTTCCATCTAATGGAAAAAATCAAAATGTGTATTTTTAATTTAAAAATTGATTTTGGTTAATTCGATTACGAAGACAGAGAAGAAGAAATCATCGAAGAAATTGTATTTAAGAAACGAAAATAATGATCGTAATAAGATAATGTTCTGCAGTATAGAATTCTAGTAAATTCCAAAGAAAAACACATGGAAATGTGTTTGTTCTTGTATATGCATATACAAGTAACGTGATTTTTCAACGTTTCATTTCTCATTTTTCCAGGTGAGTCTTCTTTTCATTACTACGATAACTTGCCTCGACTCTATCATTAATTTCCTTAATTTATAAATATCATTTTATGTAATATAATAATGATCGAACTGAGTATGCAATCGATTAAGGTTTTTATTATACGAAAATAATTTTGTAATTTTCTCTAATTCATAAATTTTTCAGTTGTAATATAATTATTATTATATCTAAATGCTCAGTGTCTGAATTTCCATTTCAGGTGCATATTACATGCAAGCGTAACACCAAGTTTATCTTCTCATGTGACGAGTGAAAATTCCATATAAAGGTGGATAACATGAAACTCGAATTTATGACTTTTACGACATCACGGTGGCGAACAGTGTTTCTCTGTATTACCTGAAGAATTCAGATTACACTGTGAATATCACCTGGTTTTACTATTCCATATGCAAGGGAAAAGGCAGTAAGACAGAAGCAGAAGAATGACAATGAATATTGTAATTGCAAGAGCAGAATGCAGGAAATATAATGTGATTATAAGGAAGAAGTTGAACGTTTTGTAAAGAAAGTACAATTCACAAGGGATAATGTTAACTAGTTATTGGGTCGTGTAACGTTTATCAATTTACTTGTGCTACTGATTGATATTGATATTGTGCTATTTGGAATTACTAAATTATTGTGATATTTCTGTTTATTAATCGTTCAAGTTTTATTGTGTTTCGTTTTCCGTTTATGAGCCCATCGAAGCTTTTTTTTTTTTTAATTTTTAATAAAGTTTATCAACCAAGCTTTTGTAAGTAATGAATTTCATTATATTTATTAATACCGTTATGTTATATGTGAGACAAGTACCTTAAACAAAAATTTGTAGTCAGAATTTATTTTCACCTATTTTACAAATTATATATCTCTTACATGTGAAGAAATGAACAATTTTCTACGTAAATATTTTACATTATTTTTGAATGAAATACTAGCTGTTAAATACTCGACTAGAAACCATTATCAAAAATAATGTTTTACCAAAAATGAATAGAATACGTATTCAAGAACCTACGCATAAATTGTACGATTACTTCATTTCCATTCACGTGTCTCAACTTCTGTTAACTGAAAATATCGGAAGTTTCTATAAGTTTGACAGAGGAAGAAAAACAAATGCACCATAAGTTTGTTTAATATATCCCAAAATGCTGTGGAATAAATTTCCTTCACTGATTCATTTTATTCGTGTTTTAGGGAGTCGACGCTGCCTTTAAGATTGAAGAACGAAATCATCGTTGGTGATCAAACGAAAGAGCAGTTAATAGCTTTGCACAAGTCATCAAGCATTCTCCAAAGAAGAATCGCGTTTCAAGTCTTGAAAAATTGCAAACGCGGAGGCAACTGGCGTTTGAAGCCTTGCAACCCTTCTGGTTGCATCGAAACGAAAAATATTTCTACTAATTGCACAAATTTCGAGCGAAGGAAGGTAAACAACGAAGAGAGGAATTCATCGAGAAATCCAGCAAGCAAGAAGTTACAGTTGAATTCGAACAATTGTTCAGATAACTTGCACAACAACGAGAAAGATTCTACGCAGCAAGAAGACTTGTACAAGAAACTTCACGATGGCACTTACACTTGTGATATTTGTCAGACGACTTTCGAACAGAAGAGCAAAATTCTTCGCCATATTATCAGTAAGCATAGTTTCCATCGACCCTTCAAGTGTTTAACTTGCGATAAAACGTTCAAATACAAATGCGACCTGAAGGCTCATCGACTGGTCCACCAGGACGTCGATACCAGTTTGTTACATTGTTGTGACAAATGCGATTATCGTACAAAAACAAAGAACAATCTCAAGTCCCATTACATCAGGAGACACACAGATGATTATAAATTCGCATGTGAACACTGTGGAAAACGCTTCAAGATGGAATGGGACCTGAAATTCCACATTGGAACTCACAGCAGTTCCCAGCATATGTGTGATATTTGTGGAAAATTCTATACGAGTAATTATTCTTTGTATAAGCACAGAAAAGTAGCCCACTTGAACGAGTATAAGTTTCAGTGTAAAGTTTGCAATAAGAGACTCTTGACGCAGGAGAATTTGGACAATCACATGCAACAGCACAGTAGAACGTACGAATGCAAAGAATGTGGAAAGGTATTTGCCTCGAAAAGGTATCTAGTAACACATATGACTACGCATACGGGTGTGAAGCCATATACTTGTCACATTTGTATGAAGAACTTTCGAACGTCTCATATGAGGAACACGCACTTGCTGACACATTCCGCGGAAAGGCCACATATCTGTGATCTGTGTGGGCAGTCCTTTAAGAGGAGATACTACATGATAGAACACCGAAGGAAACATCCTGACGCCCATTTGTCCTCGCCTCCTGTGCCTCTTGGGAAAAAGAAAGGTATCGCTGATTTGGAAGCAGAAACTGTCACTGATTTCCAAGCAGTGATTCCTTTCTACCATAACGATTAGTACTTAAAAACGATAATACTCCTAATGACTTCATTTGTTTAGATTTCTGTTCTTACTTTTGAATGCTTTGATAGCATTTTTATTTAGAAAATATTTTGTGCCATTTTAATTTATGCCATAAACGACTGCGCAAATCGATCTGAGATCGATGAAGCACGACTGATGCAGATAGAGTGTGTGATAAAGCGTGAAATAATATGGTAGCGTTTTGTAACACGAATAGCACAATTATGTGGTGATAAGTATGTAGAAGACTGTAAAACAGCTGGTATATACAGGATGAAGTTCATAAAGTATAGGAAGTGAGTATTTTCAAGAATGTTGAATAAGATTATACAATTTTACCAGTGTTGCTAATATTTTTGAAAATATTTACTTATAATTTTTTGTATGCTTCATCCTGTAAATGCGATTATGTAATTATTTTTGTATTTATTTATCTCAATTACGTGTCAGATAACACACTCTTCGTATTTCTCTTTAATTTTTTAATTTTATACGATCATCATACGCAAGTTCATATATTTTACTCACGTTTCATGCAAAATCGAATACGAAGGCAGCAATAAAGACAATGTAATCATCAAAAAAACGCTATAGTGCGGAATAAAAAAAAAAAAGAATCACCCCCACTTTTGTGCCTCGCAAATCTCACATAGTATAAACTTCTATTCAGACACACAATCGCATAGAAATCCATAAAGACGACTTAGATCAGCAGTAAGTAACGTCTGTGTACCGAAATGATAAACTAAATGCCTCGAAAGTAATCATTCCCTTTCAATTATGTTTTAGAGAACGAGTCTGCAGTAAGAAAGTCCTCACTACGGATTCCTCTGGTCGATTCATCGTTGGAAAAGATTCCATACCTATGCAGCTTTGGCAGCACGTCGATCCTAATGGTAAATTGCACTACTCATTGGTACCTGCGTCAGATGGTGGCAAAAAATTTCAAGAAAATTCCAAAACCACCGTGACATCCGTGAAAATGGAAAACATGGAGCAACAGAATAACGCGAGCCATTACGCTGACACTTTGATGCATTTATGCGAAGTAGCCATCGACTTTTGCACTTGTGATAAATGTGGCATGAAGTTTCCCATGCGGAGCATGCTGAGTAGGCACAAGATGTCTCATAATTTCAATTCTTGGCTACGTAGAAAACGATTGAACGCTGGACATCGATTGAAGGTAACTCCAGGAAAACAGGGTAAGCAGGCGCAATCGCAGAGACCATTGCAGAAACGGAAATACGATTGTACATCCTGTGATTTTAACTGTAGTAAAAAGTCCACGTTGACTGTTCATATTAGGAAGAAACACAGATTGTCGGCAGTTAAGGAAGATTCGAGAAGAATTTTCTGTATAATTTGTAATCGGAAATATGACAGCCAACCCAGCCTGAACAAACATATAGAGAGTCATAGAGATAGGAAGACAAATTATTTTACGTGCAATAGTTGTAGCTTTGCGTGTAAGAGAAGCAGCACTCTAGTTTCTCACGTAGTGCGAAATCATCAGAAGAGTAATATCGAAGAAACCTATTCAAAGAAGAGGTGCAAGGTGAGCAAATACAATAACGAACCTTTAGAAAAGGAGAAATCGCAGGAGACCTGTTTGCAGGATCAAGACAAAGACAGCTCGATCGTTTCGAGTACACTGTCCGAATTTGAATGCAAAAGCGAATCTTCAGTGACTACTCGCGCGAATAAGAAACAGGGCAAGAAGCCTGTAGAAGAACAGTGCAACCTATGCGACTTTAAATGTTCAAAGAAGAGCACCCTTTACTCGCACAAGCGGCAGCACAAGATCATGGACATCAGTGAAGTATATTCGTGTAACGAGTGCACATTTAAGACCAACAAAAAATCATCTCTGTACTCGCATATAAAAAGGAAACATAAAATACCAAAATCTTGTACACCCGATGGCCAGCCACAATTGTTTTACTGTAATCAGTGCGACTACAAGAACAAGAACAAATATGAGCTGAAAGTGCACGTGGCCAGGAAACATACGGATGATTTTAAGTTCTCTTGTGAGACATGCGGCAAGAAATTTAAAGTAAAAGGGGACTTGACTAATCACATACGCTTCAGCCATAAAGAACAACCAGTTATCTGTGATGTTTGTGGAAAGACATGTCTAAATAGTAACTCTCTGTACGTGCACCAGAAATTTGCACATTATAAAGCTAAATATGAATGCCAGGTATGTAAGAGGCGAATGGTGACTCAGGAAAACTTGAACGAGCACATGATCAGACAGCATGAAAAGAGGGAAAACGTGGTTTGCGAGGAGTGTGGCAAGACTTTCTCGAGAAATAGTAGATTGAAAGTCCACATGAGAATCCATACCGGTGATAAACCGTACACTTGTACCATATGCAACAAATCATTCGCTCGTAGAACAGCGTTAAAGCAGCATTTGTTAATTCATACTGGCATCAGGCCATACGTCTGCGATATTTGTGGTAAGGCGTTCACGCAGAAGCCTGGATTGATCAGTCACAGGAAATCTCATCCTGGATCGCATCCTCCGCTTCCAAGAGTGCTGATCGACCATATACTGAACAACGTGATGAATAATTGAGATTACTGTTTATATAGACAATTAAGAAAGTGGATAATCGTCTATCTGTGAAGTCAGGACGAAGAACAAATGTACAATGAACAGTCTCGTGCAATTAGCTCTTTATGATTTATACTATTATTAGCGATTAAAGGACTATGTAAAGAGTTAAGTTACATCTAAGGTATTACGTGTATACGATAGCTTATCGTCTGTATTATTTTTATAGTTTATTAGCGTTATTACGATACGTGATAGAGGTTTAATGTTTCTATAAATGGAGTCTCTATATATGCATCACCGTGGTGTGTTTTGAGATCATGCGTCGACTATTCGAATTTTTGTTCCACTTTCGATTACTTGCGTTAAATTATTTGTAAAAACGTGACTATCCCGTTCACATTGGTAATAGCATCATTATTGGGCAGTTTCGTTCATTTATAACACACCAAGTGTATATAACTTGCATATCTGTAAAACACATATTGCAAGATCTTTTTTATGTAATATATCTAACATTGATCAGAAACTTCAATGGTGTTGAATTCAACGATAACATTCATGACATTAATCTTCATTACAGCTTCATTACAGTGATATTTTTATTAACGAAGCAGTGAAGTTCCTTTATTTCATCACTTGACTGGTATTATGTTACTCGCTAACAATTATATAATCGAACAAATTGTCTGCAGTTATAAGTCTAACACGTTTCTTCATTCTTCGTATGGAAACCCGGTTTTAGATTCACTGTGGTCAAGTATAATTCATAATCGTATGATCACAATGGTAAAAATAATCATGTATCAGAATTAGATTTATGATATATTTAAAAACAAAGAAAAGTACTCAGGCGACAGAGAACGGTCGCCAGTTGCCGACAATAATAGTACCTTTCTCAAGTACCTAACTGACTGTTCTGTACTTTTCAGGATTCAAAACGGGGATGGACGTTTTATATACGGCAAGGAATCGATTCCGATGCAAGCATGGCAAGTAGTCGACGTTGAGGGTTGCCTCTACTATGCCTTCCTTCCAGCAAATCAAACGCCAAAGCTCTCAGAACGCGAGAAAACGATCTCAAAGTCAACCGACGATATCATGAAGAACAGCGAAGACTCGGACGAAATTTTCATGATTCCAGCCGAGGACGACATGGGTGACAACAGTATGTGCGCGATAAAAATAAAGAAAGAGGATATGGATGAAGTTTCATCCGCGAACGAGGAACATTATGACGACACCAAAGTATACGCTTGTGAAGAGTGCAATATTTGCTTTCCGGTAATGCAGATGCTGAAACGACACAGAAACGCGGTCCACGAGCAGGCTCAACGTTACAAGTGTAAAGTTTGCTTCAAGATATGTCGTAGCCTGGTCGCGTTCAAGATGCATGTAGCCTTGGAGCACAAAACAGAGGAAGAAGAAGTAAAGGACGCGGAGAGTCTGACTTATGCTTGCAACTTTTGCAACTATGAAAGCACCAACAAGTCTACCCTTCACTCTCACATTAGCAGGAAACATTCGACGAAACGTATAAGCAGGAGAAGAAGCAGTTACAGGTACACGACCGAACCAGAAGAGTATTCCTGTGATGTTTGCGAGTTCAAATGCCAGAATCGACGTAGATTAAAAGAACACCTAGAACGCAAACATGCGTCGGAGTATAAGTACGACTGCGAATATTGCGGGAAAAAGTTCAAGGTAAAGGGCGATATGAGGCTACATGTCCGTTTTAAACACAAAGAAGGACCTATAGTCTGCGACGTCTGTGGGAAGACCTGCTCGAACAGTAATTCCCTGTACGTGCACCAAAAGTGGGCACATTTCAAGCCAAAGTACGAGTGCGAGATCTGCAAGAGACGTATGGTCACTCAGGAGAACCTCGACCAACACATTTTATTGCAACACGAGAGACGAGAGAGTTTTGTCTGTGAAGAATGTGGCAAGTCATTCACTGAGAATCACCGATTGAAACAGCACATGATGACTCACACCGGTGATAGACCATACGATTGTCACATTTGTGGTAAAGCCTTCGCACGTCGCACAGCCTACAGACAACATTTGCTCATCCACACGGGCAAACGACCATATATCTGTGATATTTGCGGTAAAACGTTCACGCAGAAGCCCGGCCTGATTTGTCACCGGAAATCGCATCCCGGTGTCCATCCTCCGTTACCAGTTGTCCACATAGAACATATCCTTAGCGACTTCATGAAGAAAGAATGATTATACTGCGGGACTAAATCGAGTGTGTCGTGTACATTTGATGTTGGATTGACGTTAGGAATGTGGAAATTGTTCTTAAGAAGAGGATTCTCATGTTCTCTCCATTGAAGATTTTACATTAGCTAATTTAAACAAATTTGAACTGTTGCATCAATTGTGAAGTCAGTCGAAACAGAGAGTTAGTCTTCCTCGATTCATTCTTAATGGACTATATCATTTACCGTCTTAGCAAACTGTAAAAGGATCAAAGCTTAAATCATTGTTCGTGTGATGCTATATAATTTTGATTATTTAATTTTTACAATTCAGATGAATATTAAGGTTGAGATTTTCAAGCATTTAATTGCTCGTACTCTCACCCATTTCCATGTACGTATCCAATGGGTGGAAGTATAATTTTTGTATGATTCGTCGTTTAATTGATATTAAATAATTAAGCAGTTTTTTGTAGAAACAAGTCATTTAGGGATCAAATAGTTAGATTCGACGTCTATTGTGAAATATATTGTATACAAGATGAGATTATAAGAATTTATTTTGGGCACAATCTCATGGCAGATATATATTTTTCATGACTAACGTCCAAAGTTCTCACTCGTAATTGTCTATGATTATTTAAAATAAAACAAGATTATTTGCAATGCGATTGAAGATATACTTATTTGTATAATGTAATTAATTAATTAGTCTAATGGATATTAATAAGTATACTATTCGTCTAACTTAAGTAGAATAATCTTTGTATCTTTTTTAATATTATTTCTCTCTTTTGAATTAAATTATTTTTCATACAGTGACAGACAGTGAGCTAACATAATTTCTATATAAATATAAATGAATATTGATTTAAATTATCATGTCAGGTAATGTGAATGATGTAATTTCTGTTTGTATGAAATGTATGAATCTGCAAGTAAGTATCCTATAAAATCTGTTTTAAATGCTTCAGCAAATAATACTATTTAATATTAGTGTTAATGTAAGTAATGTTCACACATATCGATGGTTTATTATAAAAATAATTTACAAGGTACGCGATGCCTTGACTAATAAGGTAATTTTAGATTTAATCATACTTACGATTTTATGTTTCAGGGAATTCAGTACAACTATTTCGGGAAGGTACTAGCGGCAAGTTCATCTTTAACAATTAATCAATAATTGTGCATCCTTGGAGTGCCATAAAGAGAAACGATTGCCTCTATTATGGGTTTTTGCCACTTGATTACACCAATGATGATATAGTTAAAAATAAATTGCATATCTTTTGAATATCTTAAACAAACGTTCGCACCATAATTTTCTTGAAAATTTCCTAGTAAGAGCACAGAGGCTGATTTTCATTCTATTGATACAAAAATTGAAATAACTATGAATTCAATTTTTCATATCAATGACAATTTTTGTAAAAATCATTTTATTTATTGACATCTACACGAGTTGTGAGCAGTGTTTTAATACTTACAACGAAATTAGAAAATACAAGTATACTTTACAAATATTGTCATTCGTCTACAATTTACCGTTTGTACCATTTTCTTTATCACGTCGAATAAAAATATGAATCATCATTTTCATTATCCTTCTGAGATAGAATTATTAATCATTTACTCTACCAGTACTTGCTAGTGGTAGTTCTAATATTTTCACTTCAAAATCATCGTGACTATTAACTTCGACTGTAAGTAATCACCGAAAGTAAGTACCGTCCTTTTAGAACCCTAATAAACTTTAACTATTTTCCTGTTTTAGGGACGGACTAGCCCAATCACATTCCAACCACATATCAAAACCGCCCGCAGTCATCGAAGAAACCAAAAAGGAAACGAAACCAGCGCGAAGGAACGAATGCAAAACCCTATCAGCCTGTGATATCTGTCAAAAGCAATTTAAAAAGAAGTATCTATTAAAAAGACACAAGCTCGCACACGAGAATCAGGACAAGAAAGATCTATCGTTAAAAGACTCCTCCTTCATGGAACTGGTGTCTCAAAAACAGGAAGCCCTGTCTTGCACGATCTGCGACTTCCGCTGCAACAAGAGGTCCACGATGATCGCTCATCTAGCTCAGAACCACGGGGGTTCCGGTAAAAGCAAATTTACCAGCAAAAGAAAATTCGCCTGTATTATTTGCGGCCTGATCTGTTCTCGAAAGGAGACCCTGAGGTCTCACTTTGTACGCAAGCACACCCAGCACTACGAGTTCTCCTGCGAGCAGTGTGGCAAGGAGTTCAAGATCAAGGGTGATCTGACGACTCACATGAGGCTGAATCATCGAGAACCTCCTGTGATGTGCGACGTGTGCGGGAAAACCTGTCGAAACAGTCACAGTCTGTACACCCATCAGAAACATGCCCATTATAAAGCGAAATACGAGTGCCCAGTCTGTCATAGGAGATTGGTGACCAAAGAGAACCTGGACCAGCACGTGCTGACCCAGCATGAGAAGAAAGAGAAGTCGGTCTGCGAGGAATGTGGCAAGACCTTCTTCGAAAACCACGATTTTAGGAAACACATGAGGATACACACTGGGGATAAACCGTATAGCTGTTCAGTATGCGCAAGAGCTTTCACCACGCACAGTAGTTTGAGTCAGCATTTGCTGCTGCACACGGGGGAGAGGATTTATGTCTGCGACGTGTGTGGCAAGTCGTTCGCTCAGAAGGCTGGTCTCATATGCCATAGAAAGATACACTCTGGAACGTTGCCTCCTCTTCCTGTGATGCATATCGATCATATCTTAAAGGAGTTTATGAAAAAGTGAAGAGAACTTGATCATCTGGAAGCCACGTATTAGGCTTATCCAGATTTTATTGTTTTTACTTCTTTTATATATATATATATATTTTGAAAAAATTACGAATACCGATTCGATGAATATTATTAACATCTTTGTTATAAATCTGAAAGAGACTCGAGAGATTTATAGGACTGTTCGACCATTTGATAGTTTTGTGTGAAATGTTTTATACGAAGAGTTGTTTCTTGAAAATTCTATGCGTTGTACGATTTTTAATGTTGACTGTAGTAGATGTTTTAAAAATCGACGAGAGAGAAAAATGTATTAGACTTAAGCGACTAGGACAATCTCGATTTTGAAATCCACCGTGTTCCTGAATCCAGCGTGAATGTTTTTATACAAAATGCTCAAGACTTTTACTGTACTTTCTTAACGTGTTCCAAGTTTCTGTAACGTTCACCCGGCGTACTCGAAATAAAGTATGATTTTCCCTACCGACGACACGTCTCGATTCACCACGAAAGTACGCTCTTACGATCCGCTTCTCCATAATCTCTCACTCTCAAGCATTCTTCACGACTAATCTTCGAGTAGTATCTAAGTCAAACTCCAACAATCTCTTCTCTCTCTTTTTTTGATTTTTTTTTTTTTTAATTTGTAATATCGTTTTTTGTGAACCGTCTACGCTAACTTTACTCTTCACCTTACGTGCTAATAACCGTGTAACAAGACGTTTGCCAGACCCGCTTCGTTGCGAGCAAGTTGGCGCGCGGCGCGTATACCATAAGAACGAACGAATCGCTTTTGACAGCTTGCAGACCAACGAGTGTCGAAGTTAACCCTTTAATAACTCTGCTGATCGATGATGTTTCAGGTACGAGCTCGAGAACCTCAACTCGCGCGGTATCTTTATCTACGACAAGGAGTCGGTGGTGATGAAAAAGTGGCAGATCCTGGAGTTTGACGGGAAGCCTTACTACGCGTTTGTACCTGAAGGCGACACGCCGTTGGCCGAGGAGGATATACCCGAGCAGATAGACGAGGCCGGGAACGACGAAGAGAAGCAGCACCTCGTTAAGGTCGAGTGTCTGTACAACGAGGAGGACCTTCAGTACGACTCGTCCGACGAGAAGTTGTACGAGGACGAGCAACTTCTGAACGGAAGTTGCGAGCAGAAGGAGGAGGACGATATCAAACCGATCATCCTAAACGGTACCATAGACGGGGATAACGACAAATCTATCGGGGATCTTTATCAGGTGAAAGTTCAGGGTAGCATGGTGACTATAGAGAAACTGACATCGGGTGACGTGGACGAGGCGAAAGACGTGGTCGAGTATCAACAGGAGGAGCAGGAGGAGCACGAGGTGTACAACGATCAGGAACAGTTAGAGCAGGTGGATCAGGTCGACCAGGTAGATCAGGATCAGATAGAACAGGTGGAATATCTCGAGGAAGAGATTCTAGAGTCCGCGAACAATCACGTAACACCGACGAAGACACGCAGAAAAGTGTCAAGAAACTCAGGCGGAGCTCTAAAGTGCAAAGTCTGCTCGGAGATGTTCAGCTCGGCGATCTCGTTCAGGAAACACGTAGCGTGGACGCACAAGAAGAAGGTATGCATACAGGAAGATGGCGCGTACATCTGCGCGGTCTGCGACTACAGGACTCTGAAGAAGAGCCTGTTCGCTGCCCATTTGGAGAGGAAACACGAAACGTGGTCCAGGAAGCGTCCGAACAACATGTTGTTCCCGTGTGCTGCCTGCGGGTTCGTCTGCAGGTCGAAGCACTCGTTGCAGTCGCACTTCATCAGGAAGCACACCGATCGGTACGAACACCAGTGTAAATTCTGTCCAAAGAAGTTCAAGGTAAAAGGCGACCTGACCAATCACGTTCGGTTTCATCACAAGGAGAAACCGATCAACTGCGACGTCTGCGGTAAACTGTGTCAGAACAGTGGCTCTCTTTACGTGCACCAGAAATGGGCACACTACAAACCTAAATACGAATGTCACATATGCAAGAGACGCATGGTGACGCAGGAAAATCTAGACCAACATCTGTTAACGCAACACGAGAAGAGGGAGAAAATCGTGTGTGCCGAGTGCGGCAAGACGTTCACCAAGAAAGACTCGTTCAAGAGGCACATGGCGGTGCACACCGGGTGCAAGCCACATTCCTGTCTGATCTGCAATAAACCGTTCGCGAGGAGATCCCAGTTGCGTCAACATTTGCTCATCCACACCGGAAAGAGGCCTTTCGTCTGCGACATCTGCGGCAAGGCGTTCACTCAGAAGCCTGGTCTGATTTGTCACAGGAAAACTCATCCTGGCCCTCACCCACCCTTACCTGTCATGCCCATCGCGGACATCGTGAAAGAGTTCACCGAGGGATACGTGCAGGAGATAAATGCTCGCGAAAACGAGGAGAGGATCGAGGAAGAAGCGTAGAATTGTTCCAAGTCTGTTCCAGATCGTTCTGTTTGATGGACAGGTTGTGTCTCGAGAAAGGGTTTTCGACACTCTTGATTGGTAAATGATCGCTTATAGAGGACGCAACCGATGTCGTCTTGGTTGTTAGGGTTTCTTAGGTTTGTTTGCGTATGGACGAGGGATTCGATGAGAAGGAATATCAATTGAGGCGACGAAACGGTAGATAGGTAAATTTCAATCGTAAACTGTCGTAGGAGCTCCGACGAGGTTCTTGCGTTGCTCGTAGTTGAAGGATAGATTGGAAGTAGGGTAATGGAATTTAATTGTATATTTTTTTTCTTTAGACAATTTTTGTTGCGTTAGTAGGTGTATATTCGATAGCAATGCTTGGAAATTTACTAGCATATTCCGGTTTTTCAAAACCCTTGAGAAGGTCTTGATCGGTGTTATCGGTATCGATAATGACATGGAATACGACTCTTCGTTTGCTCGCAGTACTTTAAAATCCATAACGCAATTGAGAGTAATGAAACTATACAGATTTGCGAATCCATATTTAAAATCATTTCTGGTCATTACGGATTTTAAAGTATACCTGTGAATTTTCAAACATCGCTATCGAATAACCCTGTATAGTTACGATTACCATTGTAATGGTTTGTAGAAGCATAAATATCTATCGAACATGTGCTTGACTATCCTTTGTAAACCAGATTTTGGCTATTTTACATTTTACAAATGTATCTACTGGTGAAGACACATTATCGATGCTACTAATGACATTTCTAGCAATACAAAATTATTTTGTATAGACTACGTAGAAAGCTGTTAGCGAACAAATGTATGCTTCAACAACGAGTAAAAGCAATATTTTCTCACTCTCGTTCATCAACCGAAACAAACGACTACAAAGCGTGAATAATAGAATTCCAGAATAATTTGTATACCATCAAGATTGAAAGACATTAGAGCGAACGATAATTATTTTTAGACGCATCGCGTGTAATTGTAAGTATAGGGATGTAAGATGTATAATATAACAGCCTTGTAAATTGAAGATTTACGCGAAGAAAGAAAGAAACGAAGAAGAGTATGGGATTCCTTTTTGAATTTTCCTTTCAGTTTACCTACGCCAAGTCTAGAACCAAATTTCGACCCTCTTCTAGGCTTGTAACATTAATTTAATTCTTAATTTTATTTCCATCTGACTCCGGTATCGAGAAAAATTATATCTCGTATTATTATATAAATATATATATATACATATGTAATAACAAACAGAAAAGTTTCCTGTACTGGCTGTAAAAATCGCAGATGAATCATGTAAAATCCTCTAAACGTGTTAAATTTCAAGTTGACGAGAAAAATAAAATGGCGTCGTTTCCGGACGACCCTAGATACTAACGAAATAAAATTCAAACTAATTACTACGCAAACAAATAATGCTCGTTCTTTATCGAAATTGAAACAATACCGAATCGATATTTTTCATTTCGATATATAATATAGTAATAACTCGGTGAAATAAAAATAAGCAATCGATTCTATCACGTTGAAAGATTTTGCTTGCATTGTATAAAGATGAATACTTCGCTAACGTTTCGACAAACATCCTGATGTTCTGTTCGCGTATCGCGAATGGTTAATCATGACTCACGCGAACTCGTTGATACGTACACGTTGTGATATGTCTCGATGACACTTATTCTATTTGCGAGAGCTAGTCCTCCTAAGAATAACTGTAACATAACCTAACACGGTACCCCTTGTTGTACTCCATGTGTAAACGCAATAACGTTCCCACATCGACCATGTTGCTAGTGATTTTCCAAGGGATAAGCGTTTAAGACCGTGAGAGAAAGGAAGCTCGCGCGGTAGAAAACACGCCTACGATGGCTATTTTTCTAAAAATCAATACCTTAGTCTAATACGTAAGGACACGTACACGCTGTGTATAGCTTTGAGTTTGAAATAAATATTTTTACTGAGCCCCCATCTCTTCAACTACCCCGCAATAATGTCGATCTAAAGGGAAATAAAGAAATAAAAAGAAAGAAAAAAGATGGTATCCCTTGTCGATGATTATGCTTGGATGAGGAGACATGGTCGTTTGACGTTCTCGAATGTAACGATTATTTCACGACGTCAACGAAGACAAAGTAGAATGGTATTAGCGTACCCAAGATAAGTATATTTGATGTATTAAACGATCGCGTTGCAGCGATAATAATCGATTATTTTTATACGTTTCCAGGCTACGACTACTGTTACGAAGTTTAGAGAAGAACGAGAAGGTATGAATACAGATATTAGAACCCCTAGGACCTCATTTCTTTTCTTAGAGAGAATCTTCACGGGACCACGATTAGGTCTCGAGCGATTCGCAAAGATAAAATACCTTGGAGAATGCAAAATAAATTTCCAGTGAACACGATATGTATTTCTTAATCAGAGGAAGACGCAATTTCAGAGTTTTAAGAACGCATTGTGACACCACAGGTTCAACCATCTCAGAACCTACCTATTAACTCCGCTTCATTCCAAACCAACGATAACACGATCTACTTGATTTTCTGTTTTAGGATCTTGGATCCCCTGAGCGAGGAATTCAAGCCAGACAACCTGTCGCAATCGCCGCTGCAGATCCCCGGGGTATACGTGAACTGGATCGTCAAAGAGAACTTCCACATAGTACCCACGAACCAGGAAGAGGACAACCGTGAGTCCCTTCAAAATAGCCCGAACGAGCAATCCAAGAAGAAGACACTGACCACTCGTCTAGAATGTGACCACTGTCGACGTAAGTTCTTCAAGAAAAGCAACCTGGCAGAGCACTTGAAGAAGCACAGACACAAATGCTCCGAATGTCCAAAGACCTTCAGACTCCGTCGATACCTAGCCTCTCACGTAGAGAGAATTCATCGTCGTCAGGTGTACTACTGCAGCGTGTGCGAATACAAGAGCAACAACAAAGGCACCCTGAAGAACCACTACATCCGTCTGCACACCACCAACTACAACTTCGCTTGCGACACCTGTGGCAAGCAGTTCAAGATAAAGAAAGCGTTGAACCACCACGTGAAGCAGAACCACAGCGACGCACCGCCTATAGTGTGCGACGTTTGTGGCCACTTCAGCAAGAATCTTCACGCTCTGAAGGCTCATATGAAGTACAGACACTACAAGCCTGAGTTCATCTGCCGAATCTGCAGAAGAGGTATGACTACCCAGGAGAATCTCGAGCAACATTTAACCTGGCACGAGACCAGGGAGAAGGTTCTGTGCCCTACCTGTGGAAAGAGGTTTCGAGGTAGGGATCTGGACTCTCATATGCGGGTACACACAGGTGTCAAGCCTTTTCCGTGTCCCGTCTGCGGGAAATCCTTCAGAAGACAGACCGCTCAGGAGCAACACGTGCTCATCCACACTGGAAAGAGACCTTACGTCTGCGACATTTGCGGCCAAGCTTTTGCACAGAAACCTGGCCTGATTTGTCACAGAAAGCGACATCCTGGTCCACTTCCTCCGCTGCCTGTCGTCTCCATCAAGAACATCGTCACGGAATTCACTAAAGAATACACTATGAAGAACACGATTATTAAGATTGAATGAATGGATGAATCGAGCGTGTGAGTTGCAGTCGGGGTCGTGGTTCAATGGAAGAAAAGGCTGTGAGCGGAAATGATTTGCAAATGCGTAATCGAGCAGGCCATTGATTCGATTGTGAACGCATTATTGAGAAATGTGTCGAGGTGGAAGGAATTTATTTTCGATTAAGTGGAAACACCATGCTTGATGTTGATATCGATGAAGTTCAACCTATATATATATTATATACGCGCGTTTTGATTCTCTGGTTGTTGGATGTTTTGTATTCGCGACATTTGATTCAATTTCATGTACAGAGATGGAAATTAAGTTCAAGATTAATTGTAGTTTAAGAAAAACATGATCGCCAAGCGTTTCTGCGAATCGTGGATCAAGCGTGATCTGCAATTTTGGATAGAAATTCTTTAAGCGACTTTTATATGATCTTTTCACAGCCGATTTTGTACAGACTTATTTGTATTAAAATCGAATACGTGAATTTTGATAAGTATCTTTAAGTTTTTTAAACGGTACAGTTGTTTCTATCGTAAAACATAGATTTTTAATTTTTCAAATGTCTTCTACGAATATTGTTTGTATCGTTTACTGTATTGGATACTTTTTAATAAAATTATGGTTAAATACGATTCGTAAATTGTAGTACAAAAATACTCGATAAGTTATAGATTTATGAGAAATATAGAGGAAAAAGTAAGTATATAAACAAAATTTCCTATAATAAAAAGAGAACCATTTTAATTTAAACCAAACACTAGCATAATAGCACACCGTTATAATTGCATTGACTATGATTAAATTACATACATATTTCACAAAGATTGCTATCGTAAAAATATTTCCAAAATATTTCTTCGATATATCACTCGTGAAATGTTCATCTGCTAAAAATGTTTCAAGTAAGTAAGCCCTCTATACAGAAGCATTGTCAGTACCATTCTATAGAAACCAATGCCTAACAAGAACCGACTTCGATCTGTTTTAGTTCACCAGCGTTGGATCCCCTAAACGGCAGCGACACGAACCCCTTGGAAGAGCCTTGCGTGATCAAAATAGAGAACTCGTATTCGTTGGTGAAAAAGGACCAGAGGCAGCAAAGGGATAGGCTGAGGAGAATGAAGCTGAAGATTCACGCGATCGCGTCTCGAGGTCCAAAGCTGAAGAGACCCTTGGATCTGAAGAAACCAAAGAAGCAAACGGAGTCGCTGTTAGAGTGCGACTTCTGCGGCAAGCAGTTCAATCGGAAGTCCTTCCTGGCGTCGCACATGAAGCAGCACAGGCACCGCTGCAAGACCTGCGGCCAAACCTTCAGACTGAGGAAAGACTTGAAGCAACACTCGGAACAGGTCCACGGCCCGGTGCTCTATCCCTGCAGCATCTGCGAGTACAAGAGCAACAACAGGTGGACGTTGAAGGACCATTTCATCAGGAAGCACACGAGCAGCTTCGACTACTCTTGCGCTGTTTGCGGGAAGCAGTTCAAGATAAAGAACGACATGGTGCAACATGCAAAGCAGATGCACAGCAACGCACCTCCTGTTATCTGCACCGTCTGTGGCCATGTCTGCAAGAGCGTGCCTTCTTTGAAGGCTCACATGAAGTACAGGCACTACAAGCCTGCATACGAGTGCAGCTTGTGCAAACGTTGCATGACGACCCAGAAGAACCTGGAGCAGCATTTGCTGTGGCACAAGAGGAAGGAGAAGGTGGTCTGCCCAACTTGCGGCAAGACGTTCGGTCAGAAAAGGGACTTGGATCTTCATTTGAGGATTCACGAAGGTATCAGGCCATTCTCTTGTCCTGTCTGTGGCAAGAAGTTCCCGAGACGGACTGCTCAGGAGCAGCACATACTGATACACACGGGCCAGAGGCCGTATACTTGTGATATATGCGGGCAAAAGTTTGCTCAGAAGCCGGGACTGATCTGCCACAGGAAGCGACATCCTGGTCCTCTGCCACCGCTACCTGTGATCTCTATCAGAAAAATCATCGCGGATTTTACTCAGGGACTGACTGACTCGGCGATGGAGAGGAAAGAGAATTAGCCGGGACTGAGTAGCGAGTGATTTCGGACGTTTGTGACTTTTTAGACAGTAGTTACGGTGGTCCGTGCTGTCTGATGCTTCTAAGTGTAAATAGTGGTTGTTTCGTTTTGGTATCGTGTATTATTCTAGTAATTACCAGTGTTGGTGATACTTCTTTTAGTGTCGGCGATCGATTACCATAACGTGTACTAGATTTTGTCGTTATTTTTTTATGAAAATTTAAGACGAAAGGATATATCGTGTCTATGTGTATACTCAAGTCTTTTTAAAGGTTTATATAGTTTATGTAATTTACATTTAGGAACTGCAGACAGTATCAATTTTTATAGCACCATTACTGGGTTGGAAGGGAATTGTATAAAGATGAACAAATCAATGAAAATTTATATTACGTCGAATAATCGCGTTGGACGAATTTTCGACTGGAGTAAATCATTGTTTCGGGAAGATCCTTATTATACGTTGTTTATTTTGTTAATATTCGTGACGTAATCTTTAGTAGAGAATCTTACACGTACTTTGCATGCGAAACAGGTTTCAATCACGTGTTACGAGTTATAACGACACGATTTCTCAGAACGTCCATGTTAAACCTCGAATATCTATCGTCCCCATAAGAATCAAATTCGAGAAACGAAATTCGCGGATACTTTAATAATTTTCTACGAAAGAAATTTTCCAAAAGCCTGAACATTGAACACCGAACAAGTAGCTGCATTTACACGGTACCTGTAATCATCTTCAGCAAAAGAAACCGAGTATAATTCTCTGAGACTTAAATATTACATGAATATTAATCGCATATGTTGTATTTATATGTTACAAGAAATTTTGTAAGGAAGAGTATGAAGCTTTATGTACAATTAATAATTGGTTATAAACGATTGAGAAAAATGGCGTCTACCGTTTCTACGCAGAGATTTCGTACAGCCTATCTTTCTCGCTGTTTCTTTCACCATGCTTCGTATCATCCGTCCACCAAATCATCCAGTTCTCACGAAAACAAAGAGTTCGAAGAGTTTCGTCTAACGTTGATAACGTGTGCCAGATTCTCATTAAAATTCCATTGCATTCATCCAAAGATCATGCATCATCGAGCATCGGTAGGTATACCTATAACTGAAAATGGCAAAGAAAAGATCATCCCACAGAAGTTGGTTTTAATGCTAAACTAAATAAATATATCAACGCTCTCGTTCATTATCTCGTTCATTACGTGTACTTCATCGACTCTTCTGTTTCAGGTCGCGAAGAGCAACCTCGCGAGCCGTTCACGAGTGCATCAAATGCGGAGCCTGCTTCTGTCACACGCGAAAGCTAGTGGAACACCTGAAGAACCTGCACGGTATTGACAGAGCCTTCAGCTGCGACGAGTGTGGCAAGACTTTCAGAAGTCCCATGAACATAGCTCGTCACAAGTTGATTCACACCGGATCCAAGAGATTCGCTTGCGACCTGTGCGACTACAGGTCGAACCAGAAATCGAACCTCGAGAGCCACCGTCGACGTCACGTGAAGGATTACTCGTTCAGGTGCGAACAATGTCGCAAAGGCTTCTTCCTGAGAACCGAGTACCTGGAACACGTGAACGTGCACACTAGAAAACAATTGTACAAATGCGACCATTGCAGCAAGTCCTACCCTTACAAGAAGAACCTGACCAATCACCTACGCACGCAACACGCGAGTGTTCTGCCGGCAGAACTGAAGAACGACGCGATACAGAAGCACGTGTGCACGATCTGCCTGGAAGGTTTCGCGCGGAAATCGTTCCTGGAAAGGCACCTGAAGCAACGGCACGGGTTGTTCGAGAAAACGAAGCATTTGTGCGATCTGTGCGGGGCTGTGCTGTCTTCCAAGAGAAGACTGATGGTGCACAGACGGGGTCACGTTAACGAGAAGATCGTTAAGTGCGATTTATGCGATAAGCAGTTCTCTAGCAAAGAGAACCTCAGTGTTCATCGACGAGTGCACACAGGGGAAAAACCGTACGGTTGTTCACAGTGTGGCAGAAGATTCACACAAAGGACCTCTTTGATCTTGCATCTTAGGTACCACTCTGGGGAGAGGCCGTACCAATGCGTGGACTGCGGCAAAGGTTTCGTTTCTGGCAGCTTTTTGAAGAAGCATCGCAAGATACACGAGAAAACCACGCAGCTGGAGACTTCCGTGTGATGGAACTCGTATTGACAGAGAGTTGCGCGAGGTCGTAATTCTTTGTTACGAAATCATGTTGTTAAGCAAGTCTCTGGCAAAGGGAACCTCGGTGCTCATCAGCGAATGCACATAGGGGAAAAACCGCACGGTTGTTCACAGTGTGTCTGAAGATTTGCACAAAGGGTCTCTTTGATATTGGCAGAGAGTTGCAAGAATTCGTAATTCTTTGTTACGAAATGATCTTGTTAAGCAGTTCTCTAGCAAAAGGAACCTCGGTGCTCATCAGCGAATGCACATAGGGGAAAAACCGCACGGTTGTTCACAGTGTGTCAGAAGATTTGCACAAAGGATCTCTTTGATATTGGCAGAGAGTTGCAAGAATTCGTAATTCTTTTTTACGAAATGATCTTGTTAAGCAGTTCTGTAGCAAAGGGTACCTCGGTGCTCATCAGCGAATGTACATAGGGGAAAAACCGTACGGTTGTTCACAATGTGGCAGAAGATTTGCACAAAGGACCTCTTTGATATTGGCAGAGAGTTGCAAGAATTCGTAATTCTTTGTTACGAAATGATCTTATTAAGCAGTTCTCTAGCAAAAGGAACCTCGGTGCTCATCAGCGAATGTACATAGGGGAAAAACCGTACGGTTGTTCACAATGTGTCAGGAGATTTGCACAAAGGACCTCTTTGATATTGGCAGAGAGTTGCAAGAATTCGTAATCCTTTGTTACGAAATGATCTTATTAAGCAGTTCTCTAGCAAAAGGAACCCTCGGTGCTCATCAGCGAATGCACATAGGGGAAAAACCGTACGGTTGTTCACAGTGTGTCAGAAGATTCACGCAAAGGACCTCTTTGATCTTGCATCTTAGGTGCCACTCAGGAAAGAGGCCTTACCATTGCGTGGATTGCGGCAAAGGTTTCGTTTCTGGCAGCTTTTTGAAGAAGCATCGCAGGATACGCGAGAAAACCACGCAGCTTGGAGTCTTCCCTGTGATGGAAGTCGTATTGACAGAGAGTTGCGCGAGTTCGTAATTCTTTGTTACGAAATGATGTTATTTATTTGAATAAAAGAACGATGATCGATTGAGAACAGAATCTTGTATTTTATTGAAGAATGTATGCGAATGGGGTTTGGTGGAATTAAGCGCATTTACAAAAGCATCGGAAGCTTGTTGTCTCGATGTACGAATTTCAGTGTTGATATTTGAAAGCATACTTGATGCTTTGTGTAAATGTGTAGCTTTGACAATGAAGGTTCCCTCATTCCAGCCACTGGAGCAACGATCACGACGAGCTTAGCAGCTGCGAAGATTTCAGAATCAAGACCGAGGATATTCTTCTCGATCCTGGGCAGAAGTGAGTCTTTGCACATACCTCGATTAAAAATCTTGCAGAAAAAAGTACAAATTGTTTTACTTTATTTTTCTTTGATCATTGTATTAAATGCAGAAACCAAATAACGCACAAATTTTGACCAACCTTTTGAATTATGATAGTCGAACAGTGTAACGCGAATCCTGTCAATTTCTCTGTACGTAACTTTTTCGTTAAACGTAGTAATAATAATTTTATAATAGCAAGACCGTTAATTGATAATTTTCTTTGACGAAGAAGTGAAGAAAATTTGAATGGTCACGAGCAATATCGATCTTAGATTAAACATTGCAGATTCGAGGGAAACGAGAAGGTTTGCGACCTCTGTCAAGAAAAGTTTCACTTCGTAACCAGATTAGTGGCACACCTGAGGATCGTGCACGGTATCCATAGACCCTTCAAGTGCGTCACCTGCGAGAAAACTTACCCCCAGCAGTTTATGTTAAACGCTCACGTGAAAAAGTCTCACACTCCCAAAACGATCCCGTGCACTCAGTGCAGTTTCATGGGGGTGAACGCCACCGATGTGGAAAGACACTCGAAACGGCACCACCGGGAGGTGAAGTTCACCTGCGAAATCTGCAGCGAGAACTTCGTGGACAAGGATTCCCTGATGACTCATACGGCCATGCATAACTTTATGCAGTATCAACAGTGCAATGCTTGTGGTAGCACCTTCAACGATGTGTACAGGTAAAACCATATTGTTTTATTAAACAAACATGTTTGCGAAGCAAATTTACTCTCTGCTATGAACATTTTCCATGATATATTTTCATATTCTTTAAATTACTTGTTAACATAGAACATTTCAAAATCTAAATTAAATAGATAGAATAGATAGTAGTAAATTTCTTTTGTACACTTTAAATCATCCATAATAAATATAGAATTAATTCTTTGCAACTCTGAGTTATCGCTCCACGTATGTCTCTCGTGATATTCACAAAGGCTTCACAAAATGGATAAGTAATTAATAAAAATTCCAAAAAATGTTTTAAAGAACATTTCAAAGAGTAAATCAATTATTGTCTTTCGAGTAGATAGTAAATTTCTTTTATGCAATTTAAGTCATCTATAATAAATATAGAATTAATTCTTAGGAATCCTCAGTTATCGCTCCACGTATGTCTCTCGTGATACTCAAAGAGGCTTAACAAAATAGATAAGTAATTAATAAAAATTGCAGAAAATGTTTTAAAGAATATTTCAAAATATAAATTATATATTGTCTTTCGAGTAGATGGTAAATTTCTTTTATACAATTTAAATCATCCATAATAAATATAGAATTAATTCTTAGCAACTGTGAGTTATCGCTCCACGTATGTCTCTCGTGATATTCAAAAAGGCTTGACAAAAAAGATTTGTAATTAAAAAGAATTCTAAAAGATGTTTTAACACATTGACTGCCATGGTGGTCACCAATATCCGACAATACTAATTATTTAAATTTATATTTATTTTATTCCAACCAATTCTTGAATATCTGAACAACGTAAATAAATAGAGAACATTGAATAACAAACATTAATAATTTAAACCATTTTTCTTTTTCCTTTGCCATGTTGTTTGATAATTCGTCATTATATCCTGAGAATAATAGAAATTTTATCGTGGTCCCTTGAATGTACTATATAAAAAGTACATGGCAGTCAAATTGTTAAAGAACATTTCAAAGTGTAAATTAAATATTGTCTCTTGAACAAATAGCAAATTTCTTTTGTACACTGTAAGATATTCTTCAGTCACCATTTCATAAAATTTGGAAGATCGATATTAATTAATATATCAAATTTAAAATAATGCAACAATATGCGAGGCATCGGAATTAAATAATTATTATACGATTTCAAAAAATATCATTAGCTTTATAGCAGAAAATTTGTCAACTAGTAACCTTTTTTAGCCAAAAAATCGTCGAGTGCAAAGGGTTAATAACTATAGAATTAATTCTTAGCACTCGAGAACACGTAACTCTGAGTCATTGCTCAATGCAAGTTTCTCCTAATGTTCAAAAAGGCTTGACAAAGAATATTTAAAAAATTGATTTACAATTAGACAAAATTTCGCAAAATATTTTTCAATTAAGAAGGACAAAAATATCTAATCTTCCGAATTATCTCAGCTTAAAGGAGCACAACCGTTTGTACCACTACGACCCAGCAGCCCTGATCCAGGAGAAGCTGGAGGAAGACGAGCCGCAGAACACCGAGCACAAGTGCGACGTTTGCGGGAAGGTTTACAAGTACAAATCGGTATTGAAACAGCACAAGGTGAAGGCTCACGGCGACATGCCGAACTACGAAAGGCGTCGATACCTCTGCGCCCTTTGTGGCAAAGAGCTGAAGACAGCGAAGGGTCTCGAGATCCACAATCGATCGCACACCGGCGAAAAACCCTACACCTGCGAGGTGTGTGGCAAGTGTTTCGCCTGCGAGACGTTGCTGAGGACTCATAACGTCACGCACACCGGCGAGAGAAAGTACTCCTGCGACCAGTGCGGCAAAGCTTTCACCCAGAGGTCCACCCTGGTGGTCCACAAGCGTTACCACACCGGCGAACGACCGTACGTTTGTCCTCGATGTGGCAAAGGTTTCGTCACCAGGACTGTTCTGAATACTCACATGAAGTCCTGTCGTTGAGCAAGACGAGAGAGCTCGGGTGGACGATGAGAGGGAGGTGTCTAGCGAGGATAGGGGCTTCCGGTGTGGTTGGAGGGAATGTGATAATCGAGGTAAGACTGGGACTATTTGCTGAATTTTTATGGACCGTGATTTCGTGACTTGGATAGTATGGTGTTTAGCATAATCCGAGCAACTGGGGAACTTTGTCGAGTGATTGGAGATGCATGACGTCCTTTGAATTGTCATTCGTAGCGAGATTGATATTAATGTATGTAATCTATCGCTGTAGTAATCGTATACAGGGTGTCTCGTATTTTTAGTTCAACTTTTACGAGCCTGTATTTATGTAGCATTTTGTTTAATGCTTATTTACACGTGAAGTAACGAGGATTTGTAGACACCCTGTATATTCGTGTTACTCTATATGTTGGTACGATTGAATATTGACAGTGAGGCTCGTAGACTTGCTCAAAACCTTGATTTCCATTTTGTCTCTCTACGTAAAAGTTAATTCCTTTTGGTTTAATTTGTTATTTTTATTAGAATTCTTTTAAATATGTGTGCGTAATAACTTCGAGATATTTAATATTGGAAAAAATCGGTATTACCAATATTTAATCCTTTGCACTCGAGAGGCGCCTCTCAGTCCCCATTTAATTAGATTCTAAAGATCGATGTTAATTAATATATCAAATTCAAAATTACCTAAGCAATGTCGAAGTAAAATAATTCTACGTCTTAATTTACATCCGATTTCTTATTTTCCATTTTAAAAATATCCTTGACTTTATAACAGAAAGTCTTCGAATTACTATTTTTCTGTAACGTAAAAATCGTCGAGTGCAAAGTGTTAAATGAAATTTTCTATGAAAATTTTCTATGAAATGGAAAATATTTTCCTAGATTGTTTTTATACTCGAGATTATATATAAATGTGCGATGGTAGAAATTGTGTAGTATATCACTTGACTGGTGCAAGTATTACGCATATACGTACTTCGGTATTTAGTACTTGGATATTCGAGATTTGCTCCAATAGTCCCAGTCTTAAACTGGAATATTTTGATCTTTATACTAACTCAATGGATGTTCCAGTATTAACCATAAAAAGACGAGACTGTGTTAAATATCAGAGTCACTGCAAAAATTTGCTGTAATTTGCAGACGCAAAATTAACTAAATTCATTAAAATTTATACAAATTAAATTTACTAAATTTATTAACCCTTTGCGCTCGACGATTTTTTGACTAAAGAAGGGTACGAGTTAATAAATTTTCTGCTATAAAGCTGACGTTATTTTTCTGAGCACTAAATAAGAAATCGTATAATAATTAACACGTAGAATTGTTTAATTTCGATACCTCGCGCACTGTTACATTATTTTTAATTTTATATATTAATTAATATCGAGCTTCGAAATTTTATGAAATGGCGACTGAAGGGGGCCTCTCGAGTGCAAAAGGTTAAAATTGAAATTAAATTTTACATTAGCAAATTTTATTCGATGAATTTTAAAATTTCCGGTATAACGCTAAAATCGATGTGGGATAATAAATTATTGAACCGTCATACTAAATGAGAGTCTGACATAATAGTGCCACAGCTGAAGGTATATAAAATGGATGTGCAATTCCTGAAATAGTAGATTCAGTTTTCAAACTGTGTCAAGCTTCGTGTCCATAAGAATAGCTCACGTCTATCGTATTTCCTCTGTTTCTTATTTCTACTTGTCGAGCAGATTGGCACAGCTTGGTCGTTTAATACTGGGACACCCTCGAGCAATTGATGACCCTTGAGGTACTTTTAGAAAACCCTCGTGAAATCAGGGCAACCCTTACGAATATAATCGCCACTCACCTCGGGTGGATTAGCATCGAAATCGATCGCTTTGTGAAAGGCAGCTTTCGTCGTAAGTTCTGTCAATGTAACTCACTTATATGTATTTCCTCCTTTTTTTATTTTACGTTTTTATATATATATATATATATATATATAGGAAACAACGAATAATATTGTTCAACGTGAGTTTTAATCTGTGATATCCATTGGGTAATTTTTGTAGAGTTTAGTATCACTTTTAGTTTTCGAAAATTGCGAATTTTTCCAAAAATGCATGATTTTTGGTTAAAATTAAACGTTATGTTGAAAGTAAGGAAGTTAGGGCGTTCATTTTTACGTTAAAAGCTACTTAGGTACGAGTATCCTGAGTTTATCAATGTCCATAATTATAATTTTGGAATAATTATAATTTTGGAATAATTATAATTTCTGAATAATTATAAGTGATTATAAAAATTTAAAAATAAGCTGATCGTACTCTATACGTACTATTTTTGCATTTTTATAAAATTTTCTTTATCTGTCACCAATTTGCTACACGTTATTGTATTCTGTAGGCATTCCCGAAGAAGAAACCAGCCTCGACAGTGCCGTAGCTACGCTTAATTCACAGTACCAAGTGCAATGGAACTAACACGTAATAATGTACGAAAAAAAGAATATAATTTTGTCATAAAATTTCGGAAAATTGACAGCGCATCTTTCTGTCCACTGCAAAGAACCCTTTAAATTTTGAATATCTTGTGTGCGACAGTAATATCGCTTTCCACGCTCCGCGAAAAGATTATTTTTTTATATAAAATCCACGACTTGATATCACAGTAGTGTATTATAACGTTAAATTATACGAAAAGTCCGAAAAGGAAATGTTACAACATAATTATAATAAATATCGCGAGCTTTAGTATAACGTAAAAACATATCTTAAATCATAAGAAATTTCTTATTATTTTGTAACTGCTAGAAAAAAGAACACGGAAACATATACGATATATGTTATAAATATGAAAAATAAAAAAAAGAAGATGATAATAGTACCAATTTTTATACTATCCAAATTTTAAACGATCAATAATTATTAGCGAAGATAAATGGTTAAAATTAATAATAAATATTGTTCACGAATAATAATTGTACGTTCTTTCATGTCATTATGGAAATTACAAAGAATAAAGAAAGTTTAATAATTAATTAATTGGTGATTTATTAATTTTTCACTGTCAAATCGAATTATTAGAGTGTATTGAAAGCGCATAACCATAATTAGTAATTTATTCAATTAAAATCGATAAAATTTTAAAATATTGCGATCAGCGCCATCTATGATTTTGGACCAAATGCTGCAGAAAGTGATAGGAATATAGAATGTGCAAGGAGGTCGTTTGAAACATGGTCACGTGATAGACATGGACGGAAGATGGTTAGAAAAGGATAGAGTAGCTTCGGCAAAGAAAATTAATAAATAACTCAATTTCTGGAATTAATTCATGAACTTTTATAACTGAATTACAAAGCTGAAGCTTTGGGCAACATTCTTATATAACTTTTGTTCATAATTTAATGCTAATTTGTGTGCTATTAATTATTACTTGGTGGCGTGGGTGATTTAGTAATAACGAGCGCCATGACTTCTCGAAAGAATATTTAATTATGAGCAAAACTAGAAACAAAATGTGAACAAAAGTTATATAAGAATACACCTAAGAGTATGGTGTTTATAATGCGTGCATAAATATTCACAAAATAATTGCCTAAAAGATCATAATTAGTGAGAAACTATTCGTTTTCCCGGTCGTTGAATTTATTAGTTCAAATATGTGTGGAATAATTATTAATAATTAATTAAATAGCAACAAATTTGTTTCGAAAAATATATTGGAAAGTTCTTAAAGGATGCGCCTTCACGATGAATTTATAAAAGTTCATAAATTGTTCGCAGAAATTGAGTAATTAATTAATATTCCAGTGCCGAGGAAGCTTCTCTGCCACCATTTATGACGTTACGAAATATTAAACGATGCCACTAGCGCCCTCTGTGTTCTTGCTACTGAACCCACGCTTCGAGTCAAACCTCACTGGTGGCGCTGATATCAGTTTACTAACTCTGGTTATATGCCCCGGATACTTCCTAATGAATTAATTCGGCACTGGAAAATTAACTAATTACTCAATTTCTGCGATTAATTTATGAACTTTTATATATTCATCGTGAAGGCGCATCCTTTAAGAACTTTCCAATATATTTTTCGAAACAAATTTGTTGCTATTTAATTAATTATTAATAATTATTCCACGCAGTGTTTGAATTGATAAATTCAACGACCGGAAAAACGAATAGTTTCTCACTAATTATGATCTTTTAGGCAATTATTTTGTGAATATTTATGCACGCATTATAAACACCATACCCTTAGCTGTCTTCTCATATAACTTTTGTTCACATTTTGTTTCCAGTTTTGCTCATAATTAAATATTCTTTCGACAAGTCATGGCGCTCGTTATTACTAAATCACCCACGCCACCAAGTAATAATTAATAGCACACAAATTAGCATTAAATTATGAACAAAAGTTATATAAGAATGTTGCTCAAAGCTTCAGCTTTGTAATTCAGTTATAAAAGTTCACGAATTAATTCCAGAAATTGAGTTATTTATTAATTTTCTTTGCCGAAGCTACTCTGTCCTTTTCTAACCATCTTCCGTCCATGTCTATCACGTGACCATGTTTCAAACGACCTCCTTGCACATTCTATATTCCTATCACTTTCTGCAGCATTTGGTCCAAAATCATAGATGGCGCTGATTGTAATATTTTAAAACCTTATCGATTTTAATTGAATAAATTACTAATTCTGGTTACGCGCTTCTAATACATTCTAATAAATCGATTAGGTAGTGGAAAATTAACAAATTACTCAATTTCTTAGAATAATTTATAAACTTTTATACAATTAATTCATGAATTACATGCGTGCATTGTAAAAACAATATCCTTGCTGCACATTTCAGACGATTTTTTTTTTTTTTTAATCCGTTGCTATTTTTATAATAACATAAAAGAATATACAACAGTTATACTTAAACAATATTTACTATTAATTTCAGCAGATTATCTTCACTAATAACAGCTTCGTTAATAATTAATATATTATTAATCGTTTAAAATTTGGACGATATGAAAATCGCAAACGAAGATCGGAACAATGTATAAATAGAACCGCTGTAAATGCAAAATATATATATATATATGTATGTGTTTCTCTGCAAAGATATAATGAATTATATTATTTTTCTTTTCGTAGACTACTATATGGTAGCTCGATTCCACTTGGTACTCGGATTACGCGTAGTTACGGCACTGTCGAGGCTAAAGAAGCGCGCAATGACTGCGTGGCGGTAAAACCCTGTATATTCATTACGACGAATATTTTCTCCATCTAATCGAATTGAAAACTATTTTAAAAATAATATTCCACGATTTCTTCTTCGGAAAAACGTACAGAATACGACACTGTATAGCGAATTTATAACGCATAAAGAACCTTTTATAAAAATGCAAGTATATGCGTAAAAAGCACGTTCGACGGCTTATTTTCAAATTTTGATTACCAATTATAATTATTCAAAAGCTAGAATAATTATAATTATGGACATTGATAATCTGGGGATACTCACACCTAATTTTTAAGACCAGAGTCAACTGTATAACGTTCTTAGCTTTTATGTAATACTTAATTTTAGCTAATAATCCTCCCCTTTTCAGGAAAAATCACAATTTTCGAAAATTAGGGTTGCTAAAGCAATTTCAATTAGAAAATAACCTCTACAAGAATCGTCTAATGGGTGTTACAGATTAAACAAAATGATAAAATTCGTTGGATAATGTAGTCGAAAGTTCACGAATCAACGAAAATAACGATGAAAGTGATATTTTCGAGAGTTTAGGTGTTTTTTTGATATAAATCCTCGTTTCTGAAACGACAAGCTTCAAGCGTGCAGAGCCAGCAACGTTTGCAATCTCTGCGATCATAAAGCCGTCCTTGGTACTAGTATTAAGGTGCAACAGACCGTTGTAAGCTCGGTTGCACTTGCAAATGTGTCGTGTTATTTCGTAAACGTAGAAAGTAACAATTGAAGACCGCGAGAGGGAAAATAAGATAAGTCACGTTTTTCATTTTCCACTGTCGAGCAATTAAAACAATTCAACGCGCTGTCGACCATTCGGTACCGTCTTGCTAAAATAATAAAACTCGGTGTAATTTTATTTTGGGACTAAACCTCTGTCATTCTTACGCTCTTAAAAATTTCAAAAGTACCGATCGTCACGATTGATCATACCTATCGATTTCCCACCAAACTTCTTTTAAATATTTTAGATATTTTTGAACCTAACATATTGCTCTATTTTTCCATTATTTCGTAGTATAGTATTTCTTTTATTATAAATATTTTCGAATATTTAGCAATATTTAATACGGATATTCTTCAGTGTATACTTACTCGTCATTGCATGAAATGGAAAAGAAGAAACAAAAATAGACTTATCTAATGGATTTTCTCCCGAGGTCGACAATTAATACGGCGCAAGGCGAAGAATATTTATATTTTCTATTCTTCGTCGTTAATATGATTTGTAAAATTTGTCCATGAAGGAAAAACTTCGTTTAATCGATCGTAAGTTAATTAGAAACTTTGCGTTACGCGATGGACGTATAATCGTATTAAAAATCGGGAACCCTCGATCGATTAATTCGAAGTTTTACAAGAAAGACGATTCGCGAGATAATGTGATATATTTAACACCGATTTTAATCTTCTACATTTTTATACACGTTTTTTTATACTCTTTACACATGTACCGTCTATAATCATTCGTATCGTACCACTGCGCTTGGTAAGAAAACCTCGAAGACTGTGTTGCATCACGAAAACAACGAGAAGAATTTTTCCTGTATCCCGTTTTACTCGAAAATCCGGGATAACGCTAGCGTAAACGATCCTTTATTAATATTATTTAAGGCTTTTAGACACTTTTACAAATTGTTACTGCAAGACATTTTTATAATGTCGTATTTATTACTAGATTAACTCATTCGATGCAATTGTCAACGATTTATTATCGATAATACTAATAATAAAAAAAACAGACAAATAAGTTCACTGTATTGTAAATTTATTACTCGATTTTCTATTTCAGTTGTTGCCCAACGATTCCTCGACATTGAGAAACTCAACGCTCTTACGTATATCGTTCGATGGGATTATAAAGGATAAACAAATTTAATAATAGAAGTAAAATATTTCACTAGTTCGCTAAAAAATGTTTAACAAATGATAAATATCTCGAGGTATCAAAATAAACGGGTACAATAAAGAAAGATAAAAAGAACGAATAACGCCAAGATGGACGGCGCTTATTGCTTCATTTCTTAGCCTTAATAACCAGAGATATGGGTAGATCAGATACCGGTGGACAGCTGAGAAGTTAAGGTTTTAATAGAACACCAAAACCGAGGCTGGATCTTCGATTCGAAAATCTACCCCCTGCTCCGTCATCTTGTGGTCGTAATGGTAATTGATGTCGTTCAAAATGGCGCGATTCCGGGGGTTAACGTTACGTGGCTTCACGTGGATCGTACGAAAACCTATTTTGTAAATTAAAAATAATTTTCCTTCCGTCGTCCTCTCCGAACCAAGCCCACATTTCTTTTCAAAATCGCATTAGAAAATTATTTTCACGGTATGCAATTGCTTCTACGAAAACGTTAAATTCCAAGGGAAAATAACCCCGTTAATAATTGAGAGAACAAGTGTTTGAATTCGAAAACCTATTTTGTAAATTAAAAATAATTTTCCTTCCGTCGTCCTCTCCGAACCAAGCTCACATTTCTTTTCAAAACTACGTTAGAAAATTATTTTCATGGTATGCAATTGCTTCTACGAAAACGTTAAATTCTAAGGGAAATTAACCCCGTTAAGAATTAAGAGAACAAGTGTTTGAATTCGAAAACCTATTTTGTAAATTAAAAATAATTTTCCTTCCGTCGTCCTCTCCGAACCAAGCTCACATTTCTTTTCAAAACTACGTTAGAAAATTATTTTCACGGTATGCAATTGTTTCTACGAAAACGTTAAATTCCAAGGAAAATTAAGCCCGTTAAGAATTGCGAGAACAAGTGTTTGAATTCTTACAAATCTTGCTTTCAGCTCGGAGCTGACAGATGTCCCTTAAAGTATCTAGACTTCTTATTATACCGTCGTACTGTAATCTCGTTAGCTGCTTGCAACGCATCAACATTGAGACGAGCAAGTCGTCGAGCATCTCGCGATTGTTTCTCAATTGCAACATCACCTCGGCTGTAATAATTTATCGTGTTCTTAATTCGAGTCTTCAAATGTTAATAATCCGTGAAAACTCTTAAAACCGTCTGCGTGTCGTTTCAAAAATATAATCTTAAAAATACAAAAGCGAATAACCGTTTGATTTATTTGAAATATGTCATCTGTCGAGACGAGTATCTGAACTTCACGAAATTAGCGGACAGAAACGTTTTCAGCTGTCGGTTTCAATAAGAGTTACACAATTGGAAGAAGACAATGGCCAAAGCGCGAGATTCAGCGGGCTTTATTGCGACAGTTAACGCGTGAAGAAATAGAGCATGCGAGTTCCGCGTGAGGAAATATTCCGTGGACAGAGCGCAAGACGTGTAGGATTTGGAAGAATTTATTATACCGAGCGTGTTGGTGTAATGGGTAATAAGCAGTCCGACAGTGCTCCTGAAATTGCGAGATCTACTCTGATCCCACACGTGGCCGCTGAACATTTGAAACCTAGCCAATGGCACACTGGGCAGCAGGAAGTAGCACATATCTTCGTAATGGGATATGTTAACTGAAAATCAAACTTAACGAGCTAAATGGTGCATAGAATCGCCCATTCGCCAGGCACAAAGCGATTCTTCCAACACTCGCCGATATCTTCGTATCGAGGCTTTAATCGCCTCTCAAGACGAACCTCGCGACTTTCAGATAAACCACTCTGTCTCCAACACCCCTTTGTTCTTTGTTAACAACAACGCCCTTGGAATCGATTCCAAAAACGATATCGTCTCTCCGATGCATTATTTCAACGATCTCGTTACAAAGATATCGGAATCACTCGGTCCACAGGGTGTCCAAGTTGAAACAGATCACCTAATCGTCTCCTCTGCTTTTTAATGACATTAAGGACGAATTATTTTATAAAAATTGATATTTTAGAAAATTTTAGCGTACGCGATTTCGCGTGGATTTAACAGACGAAGCAAGATCTTGTCAACAGGGCCATGATCGTTTTGTTCTTTATTAACAACGCCCTTGGAATCGATTCCAAAAACGATATTGTCTCTCCGATGCATTATATCCACGATCTTGTTACGAAGATATCGGAATCACTCGATGCACTGGGTGTCCAAGTTGAAACAGATCACCCAAAACATCTCCCCTGATTTTTAATAACATTAAGGATGAATAATTTTATAAAAATTGATATTTTAGAAAATTTTAGCGTACACGATTTCACGTGGATTTAATAGACGAAGCAAGATTCTGTCAGCAGAGTCATGATCGTTAAGGAGTTAAAAACATAGGAGATTAGGTATCTTGTTCCAGCTTGGCCAGTACTGGACACCCTGTACACTCAGCAACACGCCTCATGGAATCTGCAGAACGATCTCGGGTGACGCAAAAGTAATCATCCATCTTGTGGAATCTCTCGAGAACACGCGCCTCGTTCCAAATCCCTGCAAGCTCAATGGGAGCCTCCGCGAGACGCGCTAACCCCGTGCCAGCTTGACGAGTGTACACTCGACGTGGGTGGAAGGAAATCAATGATTACTTTTGCGTCACTCTGTATCATATTGTACCTATCGTGTAGGACACTGTGAGCTCCGGACAGACCAGCACCAAATTGTGCCAGGCGGTATCCGTGATCGTGTGATGCCTGGAATCCGAATCCCTCACCGATATGTGCAGCGTTTTCAACACCCTCGGCGCTGCATTGGTCAGAGCGATCAAGGTCTGATCGGATAGAGCCGGATAATCGAGTCTGAGAGTGGTCAACGCGTGAAATCGGCTAAGAAGGCGAAGGTATCTGGAAATTCCTTTAAAATAGAACGATAATTCCCGATTGGCCGATCGATAGGGCCATCTCACGTGCCTTGGATTGCTGTGAGGTGCCTGCCATTCCCGAAACGCACCCCGAAGATCCAAATACGCCAGGTGCTCTGTCGAGCCTTTCGATGCACTGCCGAGAAGTCGCAGCACGTCGCTCACACCCAGAGTCGCATTCAGCAGGCTTAGCATTTCCAGATTGTGCTGACAGCTACGTAAATGGATGTCGGGGTTAGATTAGTGAGAATCGATTGGGGAAACTTGAGCACCGGAGCAGTGTAGTGGAATGGCAGTGGTGCGTGGTTACTTAGATAGTGTATGCTCGAAACGTGATAGATCATTGCTTTTTACCGGTTTCCAATTTTTCAGAATCTCGCGAGCTAGGGTATTAGACCTTTTATGAGTATTCCGGTTTTAATAGAGCATGTAGAATCGAATTTGTAGGATTTTTAAGGGAAACATAGGTAGTCTTGTATGATAGATAGAAAGGGAAGATGAGAGTCTAAAAATTTATATTTGGTATGTCAGTAACACGCGTGCAGCTGGTAATTCATTCCGAAATCATCTAATTCCGAAAATCGAAGATATTCTGCGAGAAAGAGATTCAAAAGCTGGCTCTCACGGACTACTGTCATCCTGACAGAAATAAAAATTACAATATTCGTTTTAACCCATTTGCATCCAAGCGCGGAATATTCCGCGAGCCACGACTGTCGTTTATCACCGAGCGCGGAATAATCCGC